AGGTTAATAATTCATAATAATTCATATGATCCGAACCAATTATGCAGCACTAGGAAAATAAATAAATTTTAGGTTTTAGCAATCTCGTTGACTAATAATTTACCATTTAGTAGAATTGGGATTATAGAGAGATTTTTAAAGGATTTACACAAAATAGCGTTTGGATTAGACAATTTGAGCTGAAATAATTTTCAATTTTAATAACACATTTCCTATTATATTATTGATATAATGAGGATAAAATTTTTTAATTCACCCCTCGCATCGATAGGGCAAATGATTTGATCGATCAATCGACCGAATTTTAGCGAATTATTTTTTTTCTAAATATTAATTATTAAAAATTATTAAATAAAAATTAATTATTAAAAATTAGAAAATTTTATAAATTTATTCGTATTTCCTGATTCAAATTGAAAGACAATTAAATTAGATTAAAAAATTAACAAAATTTTAGCTGATTTTTTTTTTACATATTTTCAATTCAATTCGTTACCAGTAATAATAAAAAAAATTTCCTATAAATTTAACAATAATATCTTAAGAATTTTACCTAGTTACTGATATGATAAGGGATTTTTTGGTTGGACAATCATATAAAGGATAAAAATAAAAGCTAATAGTTAGCTTCTGGTTGGTATTACAGTAATATGCAATGACTTCGAATTTTATCATTGTTTTGCCTCATATTTTCGCTTATTTTTTAATAATATTTCCAATATTTTTAATATTTTATTAGATTTTTCCTTATAATATTTTTATAATTTTTCGTAATTTTAGTGCATTTTGTACAAGTAAATTCTTTTTAAAATCAATTTATTTATTTTTTTCTTCTTTTTTTATGTTCTACCTTTTTATTTTCGATTATTTTTTCCTATTTGCTTTGAATCATCAAAAGTTTACTTATAAGTAATAAGAATTTTATAACTTTCAATTTCAAGTAAGTGAATTTTTATATTTTAAATATGTTAAAATACGATTTAATATGAATGTTGAAAAAATGTACCGTATTTGCCATTATCCATAATTTAATCCATTCTTTTTAATGGTAATTTTGGAAAATTTTCCATAAAGCTAACATCTGCTAGCATTTGTCTAACATTTTCCAATTATCGAGAAATATTTTTAAATTTTTTTTTTTTTAAAATTTATTGCAAATGAATGAATAGTTAGGAAGATATGAAAATATGAAAGTATGAAAGAATTCAGCAAAAAGAATCCACGGATATTTGTTAGCCTCTATAAATTCGCATATAAAAATTATTCCTCATCTCTTGTGGATGGCAATAATCATCCTCAACATCGGATTCTCTGCCAGAGATTTGAAAGTTAAGTGATGTAAATTGTATAATATATTCTTATGTTTCAAGTCTTCTTTTCGGCCGATTAATCGCTATTTAATGGTTTAGAAAATCTATTCAATTTATAATTTGCACGGTTCGACGAAATGATTTCATGCTTGACTCAACAAACTCGTTTTTACTTTTAAATAATATTTTTATTAGATATGATTTTTGTATATTTTACAGAGGCAATGGCTTATTTATATTATAAATTATTATAATATTAATTATAAATTATTACTATTATAATTTATAATTTTATAAGAATATGAAATATAATTTTTTTTGTAAAAAAAACAATAAAATTAAAAAATGAAAGTTTTTTTTCTAATTTTTTGTAATATTTCTTTTTTTTGTATTTCTTTTATTTTTTGTATTTTTTGTATTTCTTTTATTGTATTTTACGAAATATTCCATAAAAAACAAATCGAAAAACTTATCCGAAAATTTATTATTTTGAACTTTTAAATTATAAAATATAAAATCAAAGAATATAAAATAAATAATATAAACGAATGGTGTTGTTTGGATAAATTTTTTGAACGTTTATTTACTTTACTCTATTTAATTTTATTTTACTTTACTCATTGATTAACGGCAAATAAAAAATAGTATTTCGTTTATTCGAAAATTTATAGTTTGAATAAAGCAAATGCAAAAAAAAATTATGCACCTTTTCTCATTTTATTTTGCATCTATTAATTGCACACTTTTTCAACTATCGATGGCCAATTTTTTTTTTTTTTGGAAAAATGGCTATAAATTTTTTATCGAAGCAAATTGATTTAGACGATGCGAATTAGCAATAAAATAAATATGAATTTTTGGATAACAATCCGACAAATATAAAATTTTTAATTTTAGCTATAATTTATAATTTTAAAAATGATTTTAAAATCATAAAAATTGCTATAATTATTATTTATAATTATAAAAATTATTAAATCTTTTAAAATCGAATAAAAATGATTAGAAAAAATAGATATGTGCTTTTCTCAGCATTATAAACGATATCGAAAAAAAATCTACAAGTTTATCAGTGAATATTTAAAATCTCATCTTTGTTGTGCCCTTTAAAGTACATCTTTGTAACACATACGACCTTGATTGATAGTTTTGATAATTTGATTATTTAATGATAGCGTGGCTTTGTCATGGTATTTTCATATTATTAAAAATTCTAAAATTGACAATCTATCATTTATTTATAAATATTTAATGTATTTAATATATATAGTATTTGATATAAAACTTAAGATCTAATTATCGTCAATCAATTCTTTCGATAATTTTATTATAATAGAATATTAATATTGATGGGATGTTCAGTAATAAAAATCTTGAAAGAAAGCTATGACAATAAGAATTTTTGCATATTCATGCGATTAGCATATATGAAATATATAATTCAATTTATATGTAAATATGTATATTTCTTTGATTTTTATCAATACTTTATCAATGTTTACTGATATATTAAAAGCTCAATGGATCAATAGGTTTATTGCTCTCAATTCGGAATATCGGTGCATCTATTCTCAGTTGGAATAAACCTGTTCTATCAAAAATCCGAATCATGTTGGCGATTTATCTATAATTCGATCGCTAGGTGAGTCGACGGTAAAATTTATATGGTTTGACGTGCCAATAGGGTGAGTCGAAGCAGAAATGATGAGTGCTTTTAGAAAAAAAATTGTATTCTTCATATATACACAGCATAATGGTGATTAAAATTGGAAATTAAACATAAGATAAATTTATGGTGACAAATAAATTTATCAGACAATGTGAGAAAATGGATTTGTGACCCAATTTTGAAATATCATTACAGCAAATATTAATACAAGCAATCATTTCAAATTTATTTCTTAAAGGTCTTTTTTTTAAATATAAAAAACAATTCGAGAAATTTGAAAAATATCGAATTTTTAAAAAATCTTCTTAGAACAATTTGCAGCACTGATTATTAAATCGGCTGTGTTGGCTACAATAAAAGAAATATGCTGGCGGCAAACTGCTCGATTTAATACCAAACTTAAGGGTGATAGAATCTACTTGTTTCTCACTTTTTTATGCCCACATATCGACGTGTGGCCTGTATATTCAGAAATGTCTTGTAAGGAAATCTCTCCTAAATCACTCTTTGAAAGTCTATCTAAGTCCTTAACAACTAGCCAGCTATGTGCCAATTCATGCTAAAGAATATGGGGCCAAGAATATGGCTGAACCAATATTTATGCAAATTAAACATTGAATGAGCGCTCTTTTACATAAAATCTATCGCTATAATTTTTTGTTATTTTTTTATTTTTTTTCTTGAAATTTTATGATTTTTTTCTTATAGAACTTTTTTATAGATCATTCGATGGCTGAAAGTATTTTTTTAAAAAAAACTGAAGTTAAACAATACATTATTAGGAATTGATCATTTTTCGATAAGCTTTCGATAACCTAAAAATCCAATCAATTGACAATTGATAATGATAAATTTCTTATCAGATATCTTTGTGAAAAAAATTTATATTTTTTAATGAAATTCATTTAGATTTCATTGCGATTTTATTTAAATTTCTAAAATAAAAAAGAAAAGAAAATAAGAAAATCGTTGAAAATTTCTTCTTTCAAGAAGAACTCTCTTGAAAAAATTTTTTTGAAAAAAATTTTTTTTTCATTAAAAAAAAACTATAAATGAATAAAACAAATTTATATTTATTATGGATAGAAAAAAGCAAAAAAAAAATTTACATCGGAATAGAAATAATTCTTTTTTTAGAACATTCTTCTTCATCAATCATCTTTCAAATATTTTCTTTCTGATGGAAAAAAAAAAGAAATCATTGTGCTAAATTTTTATTTTTTAACGACAATAATATTCATATTTATTTATTAAACATTTATTAAAAGGTTTTTAGACGAATGATTTTTAAGAAGAATTTTTAATATTTCTAATTTATAAGAGGAAACGATAGCCGAGTGAATAGTGAATGAGAGGCAAAATTTTGGATTTTATTTCAATGGTAATAAATTTTCTGCAGCAAAAAACTGCAAAAAAATTTCTAATAGCCATAATAAAAAGCTAACGAAGCGCCGAATTAATCGAAGCGCTAAGCACTAAATTATTTTAATTGCTTACTAAAACAATTGAATTTAAATTTTTATTTGCTAATTTCTTTTTAAAATCGATCTCAAAAAAATTTTTTAAAATCAATTTGCTTAAAAATAAAAAATTAATAATATTTAACATTTAAATTAAATAAATTTTCATAAAATAGAAATAATAGAAATAAAAAAGATTATATTTACGTAAATTTGCGTAAATTTTTCAAAAATTTTTATTTAATTAAAAAATTTTATTAAAAAAATTATTTATTGCCTTTAATTTGAAATTATTTTATATTATTAAAATCAAAATTTTACTTTTTCATTTTCTTACAAAAATTTTCGTTTTTTAATACATTTTTATTTTTAAAATTTTGTATTTTTTGTGATAAAGTTAAGTTTTGTTATTTTTATTTTTAAAAATTGTAATTTTTTAAATTTATTTTGATTTTTAATTTATATGTGAAGTAAAATAAAATTTTATATTTTCATTTCAATTTGTTAGTATTTATAATTATTTAAATATTTATTTAAATATATTTAATGTATTTTATTTAAATGTATTTTTTTAATTTATATAAAAATTACGAAAGAGTGGATTTTATTTTAGTAGATTCACCAGTGGCGAGGCCAGTATTTCCAGTTGGAATATCAAATTCAGGTAATGTAGGTGGTTGCACAAAAAATGATTTTCGATGTAATGATGGAAAATGTATACGAATGGAATGGAAATGCGATGGATCTGGTGATTGTTCCGATGGTGAAGACGAAAAAGATTGTCGTTCGTCTTTTTATAATTAATGAATAAATGTTAATTTTAATGAAATCGGTCAATTTGAAATTGACAAATCTTCGATTTTTTCATCGAATAAAGATTGTATATCACTTAAAAAGACAATCCTTTGATATGATAACACGTCTTATCATCCTTTATCATCTTCATCATATATAGCCCTAATCACCTCAATACATAATATACAATATGCAACATAACCAAATTTTATCCAATTTTTTTTTCTACATTTAAATACTGATAAGACAAAAACTAAATAAATAGGCAAATCTATTCCAGTAGGAGACTGGCTTCTTAATTGTTTGCCATTTGTAATACTGCAAAAATTATTTAATTCATAATATGAGGTAAATTATTATGGCTTAATTAGCGAGTTATTTGAAATAAGATATAGGAAAGGAAATTTTCAGCTCATCCCGGCTGTAAACCAGATCAATGGCAGTGCGACCGATATGAATGGCATTCCGTTTCATGTATTGCAGAATATCAACGATGTGATAATATAACAGATTGTGCGGATGGTTCTGATGAAGTCGACTGTCGTTAGTTTTCTTCATCTTCAGACAAGCAATCAATTATCAGTTATTATTTATAAGTTATCAGAATCATCGATTACAGATGCAAACAGGAGAAATAGCCATATGCTTAGGTTGGAAATAAAAAAAGAAACAGTCGAAAAGGAATAAAAAACAAAAAAAATAAAATAATAAACCATTAATACCAATCGTGTTTATTTTTTCTCAAGTTATATACTGATAAGACAAATAATACCTTATTAGGCAAATTTATTCCAGTAAGGGCATCATTTTGGAACTTGCAAGTTATTTTTCCGATTTTCGTGAATATCTATAAAGTTAGTGAAATTTGATAAGAGGACTTCAACTTGTTGATAATATTGTCCAGTCTTATGGAATCTTATGAATAAGAAATTGATTATTCTGATCAATTTTATGTTCCTTTCCATGGGGCATTTATTAAATCTGATAATCTCATTAAATTATTCAATTCATAGAATTATTATTTAAGTTCGAATTATATCTTTTCAGCGGCGAATAGTGTCTCATGTAATGTTGACGATGGATCCGTTTTTCAATGTGCTGATGGACGACAATGTTTTGATATTTTAAAAAAGTGTGATGGAAAATATGATTGTCGAGATTTAAGTGATGAAAAAGTGAATTCACATTTAATTCATTAAAATATAACTATTTTTACTTATTTATTTGCTTAACTAACGAATAAGTTTGTCCCAGTGGGTTGTTGCTTAATTCGCCAGTGCTAAGGTTCTACTCCCCACAAGAATAAATCCATATAACAAAAAATCCGGGTGATGCTAGCGACTCAACGCCAAAGGACTCCCTAGATTATTTAGCCCATGCAGCGACTCTAACCAGTAATGACGAGTGTTCCTTTAAAAAAACGGATAAGTTTACCTTTCTTTCTTTTTTAAAATATATTATTTTAAAGATTGTAAATAAAAACCAGGAATAATCCAATAAATGGGCTATAAAAGAGGACAAAAATTAGGCACTATTTGAAAGATTTTGGCTTAGGAGGAATTTAATTTTTACAAAAATTTCCGCTTAGCCAATAAAATTTAAATTTTAGAAATTTTAATTTCTTTTCAATTATTTCTCTTTTTTTTTGTCCAAGTTGAAATAGAACCAATAAAAAGATTTTTTAAGGATTCATGCCCACATAATCATACAGCATGCTTCCAATATCAGTTTCGTTGTGCGGATCATTCGCAATGCATACAAAAATCTTGGGTTTGTGACGGTTCGAATGATTGCGCTGATAATTCAGATGAGCCACCAACATGTGGTAGGATTTGATAAAAATTTCATTCATTCGTGAAATTATTATTTATTTCATTTTCAAAAACCAGTTTTTGATTAAATTTTTTTTTTTTGATTTTGATCTAATTTAATCGAATTTTTATTGATTCTTTAAAATTTTTTCCAATATTAAAATTCGATTAAAATTTTAATCTAAATTTGCTTTTTTTTCTTCTTTTTATAAATTTATTATTTTAGAATTTAAACAATGTAATGGAGGAGAATTTCAATGCAAAAATAAGCGTTGTCAACCACGAAAATTTCGTTGCGATTATTATGATGATTGTGGTTCGTTAACAGTGATAATCACGCTTATCATTATCACTATTAAGTGATATAAAATATTTATGTATGTTTTAGGTGATAATTCGGATGAGGAAGGTTGTGGTCATTATTTGTGCCCACCACAAAAATGGAATTGTCCTGGTTCGGGTCATTGTATTGACGAATTAAAGCTATGCGATGGTAAATCAGATTGTATCGATGGAGCCGACGAAAAAAATTGCTGTAAATTCTTTCAATTGTCCTTTCCTATATAACTGAAAATGAAGAAATATTTTTCGCAAATATTTTAAACCATTAAGTAAATTCGACAACAATGAAAATTTTCTTCGACTTTATTTATGATTCACACATACAAATAAGAAATTTTAATGCAAAAATTAATGAAATCAAAATGAAAAAAGAAATTCACAAAAAAAAGTTTTATAATATAATTTTTCAAAAAAAGCCATAAAAAATATGAAAAATACAAAAATTATGAGAAAATAAATGTAAAAATATAAATAATAAAAATATTTTTTCATCAATTTTTTTTTACGAATTATTAAATTATTATTTTTATATAAATTATATAAATAGAGATAATTCATAACATAAATTTCGTATTAATTTTTGCTTATTTTTTGAATTAATTTAAATTTTTAAGCATCAAATTTATGTTCATCACTTGGTTGTCAAGCTGGTTGTCATCCATCGCCTTCGGGTGGAACGTGTACTTGTCCAGTTGGATATAAGCTTGATGAACGATTTCATCGTACTTGCTCAGGTTTATTTATTATATTTTCATTTTTTTAAATGAATTATTAATGATTGTATACGAAGTAAATTTATTGAAGATATCAATGAATGCAATGAATGGGGCTATTGTGATCAAGGCTGCCAAAATCATCGGCCAGGCTTTACGTGTTCTTGTCCGGGTGAATGCTATACGCTAGAAATGATGCATGGCCCTGGAACGGATAATTTAACTATGCGTGGTTATTGCATATCGAGAGAACCCGAAAAATTACGATTATATGTTGCAAGAAGAGAAGGTTTATATCGGTAAATTTTTCAACCAACAAATAAAAAGGTGTTCGTATGAAAAAAAATATAATATTCAAATTTTTTTTTCAAGATTATTCGCCATTTCTAATTGGGAATTTAGATGCGCTCTTTTGTCGGACCAGGCAAATTTTGCCAGAGAGTCATTCGATTAGATGATACAAGTGGATCGCCAGCATTACCCAGTTTTTTGAAAGATATTCGCTGAAATTTTTGAAAAAAATTTTTTTATAGATTAAATCCAAACGATAAGAATGAAGAAGTGAAAAAGTTAGTTAATGGTGAATTTATTTATGGAATTGATTTCGATTATGAAGATAAGCAAATGTTTTGGACTGATCGCTTATCGCATTCGGTTTTTTCTGCTAATATTGATGATAATGGTGATATACAACATATAAAGTTAGTAATTTGCTCATAACTTATTATAATGATAAGATAATGATAAGATAAAATAAGAAACTTTTTTCTCATAGCTCTATATTTAATTTGGCTGATTTAACTGATTAATACGGGTACGATGCTTTTTATAAAATTATTTGAAATCACAGATGCCAGTCGGTTTTAATGGGAGAAATTCACCAACCGGTAGGAAATAATTCTTGCTTATCCTTATCCTTAGCCTATGTTACATGCAATTCAACCATTGTATCTTCACAATTTTTGATGTAACTTGAATACCGCGAATTGCTTTAGTTTTAGTCGAAATTTAAGAAAATTAAAAATTCCACACTAAATAAAATATAATTTAGAAAACTCGATTTAAAAAATCTGATCTATCCGAGAAACCTGGCTGTTGATTGGATAACAAATCACCTATATATTATTGAATCAGGATCGAGACGCATTGATGTTTCTACATATGACGGTTCACGGCGTACAGTGCTTATTGCTGATGGTCTTACTTTGCCATTAGATATCGCTTTGGATCCACTACGTGGGTAAGGACATTTATACATATATATATATATATATCTTTAAGCCAACATAAATATTTATATTAATACAGCCAATGTAAGAACAAATAAGTAAAAATTTGCAGAAGACCGATTTCATTTTAAAAGTTTTCTAAAATGCATTTTGTAGAATGGTTCATTTTATTCAAATGTTACGATCGCCATTATAACAAGGATTCAGAGAAATTCAAAGGATTTTAATAATAATCATTGATAATAATCACTAATCATGAGCATAATTGATAAGAAATTTATCAAGCATCTATCAAAATTTATATGAAGAATATTCAAATATTCAAATTAAGTTATTAATTAATATAAGGATGAAATTAACTATTCAAAATAAATTACTAAATGCTGTATTTAGAGAAATGTTTTTCACAAATCAATTCAAACTTGAGAAAGCAGCCATGGATGGTACTCGTCGAAAGACGTTGATTAATATACATACACATCAAGTCAGTGGAATTGTTGGTAAGCATCCATATAAATATTTTTAAAACTACCTATTAATATTTTATTCTCATTGGGTTTTTTATAAGGGTCACTTAGAACATTCAAAAGATTCCAAGCATTGTTTGTTCAACAATATCTTTTTTAGTGGATATAGCAGCTAAACGGGTTTATTGGGTTGATCCGAAAGTTGATCGAGTTGAATCAATTGACTATGACGGAAATGATCGAAGGATTGTCTCTCAAGGAATGAATAATGTTAATTATTTTTCTATATTTGGTAAATATTCATACGAAGGAAGATATAATTACAAGATTTAGTAAATTGTGCAATAGACAGTGGAGGTAGGTTAACCGAGCGGTTATTCAGATGTTGCTTAGATTATTGTTTTAAGCGTGTGGTTCAAATTCTGCTTCTTTTCTGCAAGAGGAAGCCTAAAAAATATATATTTTTTCAAAAATATGTGCTTTTACCACCAAGTGACCGATCCTCTGGCAAAATTTCATCATACTGGCAGTGACCCTCTAATCTAAAAGTTAACTGCTTAATTAATCTATAATTGGTACTAATTTATAATCTTTTATGAATATATTTTAAGAATATTATATCAATGGTTTTTATTAAGGTACCTCATCCATTTGGTCTTGCATTATTTGACCAATATTTGTATTGGACAGATTGGACTAGATTGGGGATTGTTCGCATCGAAAAATTTGGTTCTCCATCCACCGTTATTTGGTAACTTATCAAACTTCAACTCTTCATTGATGCCTTAAAGCTTCTTGGATTGGCTAATTATGCAGTTCGAGAATTGATAAAATTGATAAAATAAAATTGATAAAAAATGATAATTCATTTGATAATTTTTTTTAGAATTTGACATCAGTTTTTATCGATAAAATAACAGAAATTTAAGAAATAGAGAGTTCAAAATCGTGGTTCTCTGCAATAGGCTTTTTTTAAAGAGTTTAACCTATGAATTTTTCTAGGAGTAACAAAGAAAATAATGTCTTCCCAATGGGTATCGCTGCATATCATCCAATGGCTCAACTAGGACATCAAGAAAGTATATGCCTTGGATTAAAAATAGATAATCCATGTCTTCAGTCGGGTTGTCAAGGAATGTGTATATTAAGCAAAGATTCGCGTGAATTCGGTGTTGGATATCGTTGTGCTTGTCCAATTGGCCAAGTAATTTTCTCTTTTAAGATTATTTCTCTAAAATTTTTATAACATCTGAAATAAGCTATTTAAATTGTTTATTGGTTAATTTCTTCATAAATGTTCCATTCTCCATAATAATCTATAAATAGAATATTATTAGTAAAATTGATATTTTTAGAAACTCGTTGACGAAAAGCGTTGCGTTGATTCCGAAGATTATTTATTATTCAGTAGTAATAAAGTTGTACGAGGAATTTTTCCTGAAATGCAACAGAATGCACTTAGTGAAGCAATTCTTCCCATATCGCCTATTTCACAACGACGTATTGGTATGTATTTTGAAGTGGAATGTGACATACACGGTGGTAGCTTTTTCTATGCGGATATTATGGACAATACTGTCACAAGGTAATAATTTTTAAAAAATTCAAAATGATTATTATTCATTATGCTGCGAGTTTGAGTTCTTTTTATATTGAAAAGATCTTATCATCTCATCAGGTCAAGATTTACAAGATTTATTAAAAATTTGATAAATTTGATAAATTTGAATTTGACAATTAAGAGTGAAACCGGATGGTGAAGGATCAGCTCCAGTTCTTGTCACGCATAACGATGGTATTGTCTCAATGTCTTTTGATTGGATTGCAAAACAACTTTACTACGTCGATAATATAAGAAATAGCTTGGAAGTTGTCAAAGTTCTCGAACAGGTTAATATAATTCTGTTCGGCAAAGCTGTGAAACTGGACAAAAAAGAAATGATGAAGAACCACTGAGGATAAATTTTTTTTACGAACGAGTGGAAAGTATAAGGATAAAACCTAAATAGTTTTTCTAAATATCTGGAATTTCGGATTCGCTAATTGAATTTGATAAAATAATTCGCCGAGAAATATTTTTAGGGTCTAGTTCATCCCGATCAATTGATCCATCGTCAACTTTTAAGTGGTTTAAGAGATCCTGTAGCAATTGCTGTTCATCCATGGAAGGGTGCTTTATTCTTCGCTGAAGCTCAACGACCTGCTCGTATATTTCGATGCATGATCGGTTAGTAAGAATTTTGTCCTTTTTATTGAACGCCAACCTTTTCTGATTTGGTTATATACATAACTATTGGAGTGGAACCTTTCTGCCAGAAAGTTATTTGGAGATAGCGGTCAAATAATTGTCACATGGGCTTATTATATGCTTCTGCCCAGCAAAAATTTTATTAATTGTTTATTAGAAAATAATTATAAAAATAATTTTTCAGCATATTTTTTTCTTATCACTGTTATCACATAAATTAATCTGATATCTCACTTTTCTGGCTTTTTCTAGTGTGTTATGTTTAGATGCTTCGGACTGTAAAGTAATTCGAAACACAACACTTGGTCGACCATCAAGCTTTGCGATTGACTTCGAAGAAAATCGTCTTTGCTATGGTGACACTCTTTTAAAAACTATATCATGTATGAATTTCGATGGCTCGAGGCATTTCGTATTGCCTATCGATAATCCAATACCAGTTGCAATTGCTTTACTTGGAGGTATTGTCCCATTTTTCTTCAGTCATCGATATATATATATATATATATTCTTAAAAATCAACTTTAAACAAAATGTTTTCGTAACAGTACCATCTGATATCTAATCAAATGGTAGAATAATATAAAATAGGTAGCAACTCGAGTAAATGTGCCTATGCGTTCACACACTTGCCTTAGGGTATTAGCCATATTTATTGAGGCACCATAAATATAAATATTTCTGAAATTTTAGTGACAAAAATTATGGGAATTTCTTACAAAATGGGAATTTATGAGTCCAATTTCAGGCAAATCATTCAGAATTTTTTCTTAAAATAAGCGATATTTTAAAATTATATTTATAAATTTGCTTTATTTAGAAGAATTATATTACGTACATCAACGACCATATTCAATTCGACGCGTTAGCAAAAGAAATGGTGGAATTGGTAAAATTGTTCGAGAATTCACCGGTGAAGAGCGGAGTGTTTTTTCACTTAAGGCAATTCTTTTTACTCAATTTTTTATAAAAAAAATATCAACTTTTTTATTTTTGCTAAGTTAGTTCCATCATTACATAAATTTTAGAGTTGTTCTCGTTCGAATCAACCAATTCCTGATCCTTCAATTGATCATCCTTGTCGTGCTAGCGATTGTTCTCAATTATGTTTCGCGTTACCAAATTCTTCATCATCTTCCGAAGCACAACCACTTATCAAAAAATGTGGCTGTAGACAAGGTAGATTTTTATTTCCATTTATCTATAAATGAATCTTTGAATTGTCCACAATTCTGACTTTATTTTTATTGACATGTTTAAGGATACAAAATCAATACGGAGAATATGCGAAATTGTCAACGAGATCCAAGGGAATCAGTTGAACCACTATGTCCTAATAATTCTTCACAATTCCTTTGTAGAAATGGTAGATGTATACCAAATGAATGGAAATGTGACGGTGAAAATGATTGTCTTGATGGAAGTGATGAAGTTTGTTTTTATTATATTTTTATTTCGTATTTTATTTCTTAGTTGAAACTTTCATGAGTTTTTTTAAAAATTACATTTATACCTGTTTTTTTTATTGAGATTTATTGTGTTTTATTAGTTTCAATTTTTTAAGATTAATAAGGTATTCTTCTTCTTCTTCTAACAGCTGTCTTCATTATTGGTTCGACTGGCTCCACTGTATTCGGTCCAACGCTGAGAGTAAAATAAACCATTCCTTTTTCCACAGTCTATGTCCATCTATCGCTGGCCCATCCATAATAAATAAATTTGCCTATACGTCTGTTTAATTAATGAAAATAATCAAATCAATGTTCCAGAGGAATACTGAAGGTAAACCATGTTTCATTCCTAAAGAATGTCCATCAAATACTATAATGTGTAATAATACGAAGAAATGCATTCCGCAACAATATGCATGCGATGGCGATAATGATTGCGGAGATTATTCGGATGAAGATATTAAGGTTATTTTAGAATTTTGTTCCTGAACTTTTTTTCATGCGATAGATCCATTAGATCCTACGGATCCCTTCTCCGATTATTTTTAAATGTAAAGATAGAAAAAAAAAACATAGAAGTGCAACAGAAAGATATTCTCCTAGTTACTATTCACAGAGGCTAATACTTCGTAAACTGTGGTTCATTTATAATTTCAGTTAGATGTAAATTTTAGTTAGATAGAAATATAGATTTATATTACACTGAAAATAAAGGTGCAAATTTTTCACCACTACGAACCACGAAGGAGTCCATGGATCCGTGGTTAAGAACTACAATTTCAAAAAATTCTATATGATGTAAAGAAATAAAATGAAAATTTATGGAAATAGGGAAAAAAGAAATGGATAGTTCCATTAGTGCGGTTGGAAATTTTTTTAACAAAGAGTCATAGGCTTGCAAGTTTGTAGATAGTGTCCAGAATTTTTTAAAAGTAAGCTTACTATACAACTAAAAAAGGCTTTATTTATTTATTCAGTATGTTTTAGTACTGCAAAAATGGTGAGCCTCCAGTATGTGCTGCGAAGAAATTCCAGTGCGACAATCATCGCTGTATTCCTGAGCAATGGAAATGTGATTCTGATAATGATTGTGGTGATGGATCAGATGAGAAATTTGAGATGTGCGCGAACTCAACTTGTTCTTCTAATCAGGTTTTATTTTTTTTTTACAAGGCAAACTTCGCTTATCCACTTATCATCTTTTTTTTTTTCGTTTTTCATTTTCATTCGAGATGAAATAGTCGATTTGTATTATTGCAAAGTCTAAAAACATATTGCTTAAATTAAAAATCTAAATTTAGGCCCAAGATCTAGAAAAAATCGAAAAATAGAAGTTTGAAGGCCTAAAATCTAAGAATGAATTCGAATGTTTCATATTTTTAAAAATTGGTTAGATAAATTATTTAGTTTACATGTGGCAATGGTCGATGTATACCAGTATATTGGCTTTGTGATGGTGATAATGATTGTTATGATAATACTGATGAAGATAAGGAAAGATGTCCACCGATACATTGTAGAGCTGATTATTTTCGTTGTGCTAATGGTAGGCAATGCATATCGTTGCGAAATCATTGTGACGGACAACAGGATTGTGAAGATGGTTCGGATGAGGATAGTTGTGTTCAACAGGTTTTCTTTTAAATTTCTTTACTCGTTTATTTAACGAATAGAACAAAAGCCTTAAAAATATTTTATCAGTATATTCTTATCAGCATTTTATCAATATTTTAGTTTTCACTTAAATCAGTTTATATTATCAACTCGAAAATTGCTTTTTTTTTTTAATTTATTGAAGAATTCAAAAATTTCTTTAGGCAGGAAAGTGTAAACACAACGAATTTACATGTGTTTCCACTGGTCTTTGCATACCGCTAGCATGGAAATGTGATGGACAAAAAGTAAGTTGCTAGAAGTTGAATTCAATTTTTAACTTTATAAATGAGCCAAGAAATTATCAACTAAAAATTAAAGCATTTATTAAATGATTAATTAAAAACAAAGCAATTAAGGATTGCGATGATGGTAGCGATGAACCGGCCGGAATTTGTTCAGAGAGTCAGTGTGCTTCTGATCACTTCAAGTGTGATAATGGTCGATGTATATTTAATGTAAGTGGTCTATTTGGTAGCATTAAACCGTCAAAACAAGTTGTGCTGGTTAAAAAGTAATATTCTGAAAACTTTTAGAATATAATAAATAAAATAAATTGGAAAGATTCGATTCACTTGGTAGAATAAATCTATTACTATAAATAAAATCCGAGTGGTGTTGAGGACATTTGTACCTCTCTGTGACATTAAAAATAATTAATCAGTAAAATCAAGAAATGGAACAAATATTAAAAGAAGAAAAAGATGATCAAAAAATTTAAAAAATCTATAAAAAATTTTTATATAATATTATCTTATGAATAAATATTTAAAGTTCAATTTTTTCCTGTATCAGCTTATCATTTTCACATTTTTAAAGATTTAATATTTTCATGGTTTTTCCTGTATCAGCTTATCATTTTCACATTTTTAAAGATTTAATATTTTCATGGTTTTTCAAAATAATCAACATGATAAAAAACCAAGCGATTTGTCCTTGAAATTAGTTGAAGACAAACCTTTCTCCATTGCCAAGTCTATATAATCCGCTGGACTACCGGCTTTCTTGACCATATCTATTCATCTCTTTCTTTGCACCTCTAAAAATTTTTTGTTAAATAGTTTTAAATAATCCTAAGCCAATATAAATTTATAAATTTTAATTTTATTTGATCCATGGAAAACATTTTTTAGGCTTGGTTATGTGATGGAGAAAATGATTGCGGGGATAATAGCGATGAGGATATTAAACATGGCTGTCAGAAAAGTCAGCAACTCTCTCCTAAATGTCCCTTCGAACAGGTTATTTATAAAGATTTCAATTTTCAGACGGGATTTTCCGATGAAAGTATTTTTGCCTTTGTTTCTCAGAGCATTTTTTATCATTCCTTTGATCATCTAGGCTCATTCCACTGGTTTATATCAGGCCAAACAAATTTTCCAGGAAATTATTCGACGATATAAAAGTATAAGCAAATTGCCACCATAACATTTTTAAATATTAGTTTATTATTACTACAGAGGGCTGAACCTCTTTTTTTAAAAGAGCAATCATCATTACTGGTTAGATTCGCTCATCTGGCTTGTCGCATTAGATGAATATGCCATAGAATCCTTTGACAATAGAAGTACATATGAATCGCTAGCACACCAGATTTTTGGAGAGGTTTATTCTTGGGAATAGAATCAGAGTACCCGAATTAACCAACAACCCATTGAGCCATTCTACTCCCTCTTCTTTTTCTCCGTTAGGCGAGGCTGCTGAAGTCAGCGAACCTTTCGAACATAAACTTCGAATTTCGGTGGCAATTATCTTGCCGCTGAACAAAAAGAATGATTTTTTGTAAACCTAATTAATATCGATGGAGACTTTTGGTTCTAAAAATTTTTGAAAATTTAAAATATTAATTTTTCTCATTTTAGATATCCTGTGCTGGCTCGTCGGATATATGTATTCCTCTTCATAATTTATGCGATGGAAAAGATCATTGTCCTGGAGGTACGGATGAAGGTGGTCGATGTGCTAGAGATTTATGCGCAGCAGGTCGTGCTGGCTGTTCTTATAAGTGCCACATGAGCCCCGATGGACCAATATGCTCGTGCCCATTTGGTGAACAGGTCGAATTTTTGCGTCTTTTTAGATTTTTAGATTTGAAATTTTATCTAATCGATCGTTTTAGTTAGTGAATAAAACTCGATGCGAACCTGAAAATGAATGTTTGGACGCTCGCACATGCAGTCAAAGATGCAAAGATGAAAAGCATGGGTTCACTTGTAGTTGTGATGAAGGGTACACTCTTGGTGTAGACAAAAGGACTTGTAAAGTAACTAAGGATTTAGAGGTGAATTATTTCTTTTCTTTTTTCCTTAGGCTTTAATGATTTTATGAAATATTTTTCATCATCATCAAAAGAAGATCCTCTTCTTCTTCTAATAGCTGGCTCACCATTACTGGTTAGGCTGATTCCGCTCGCTACAAGAGTAAGACGTCTCCAAGCTGCTCGTTCCGACGCCATCGCTAGTAATAGAAGCCATTCTTTTTTCCATTGTCTAAGTCCATATATCATCAGAAGAAGATGAAAAATAAAAATTTCCTTTCTAAATTGGGACTTCCTTCAATTTTTTTCATCATTTCTGATCGTCCGGCTTTTCGGATCAGACAAATTTTGCCATGGAATCATTTGGCGTACGGGTAAATGGCCAACTTCCTTTTTGAAAGGCAGGCTTATTCCCGCTTAGAAAAAAACTTAACCATTCATCATTAATATCACAAATATAGGATATATTGTAAGAATAATATATTTCCACAGTAATTTTTCAAACTAAATTTATACTTAAGCAAGCCACAGCTTTATTATAACAATTTTAAGTAAACATCCGTTATAATGATAGTCAGTGATAATAGTGATAATCAGATATCCGTCTTTGTATCCATTCACATACTAGTCCAAATCCATATCTTATCCATTTCCTAAAATCTTTGAACATCTCAGACAAATCTGAGAACGAAAGAACTACGAATGCTGAGGCTATTCATTATCAATTTGTCGTATTATACGAAATGATAAGGTGATAAAAGATAAAACTTATTTTATTGCCTGATATTAATAGTTGTCATAATGCATAATGCTTATATGCAACAATAATGAGATTATGCAATTTACAGGATGCTCGAATTTATATATCTAACAGAAACCGAATTTATTGGTCCGATCATAAAATCGAAAATTGGCATACGTTTGAAGCGCAAATTGAAAATGCTGTTGCATTGGCTTGGGATTCAGTTGATGATCGAATTTACTGGTTGATTATTCTATTTTGCAGAAAATTTTTTTTTTCATAAAATATTTTGGAAATATTTTGGAAAGAATTTTAGGTCCGATATACGAGAAAAGAAAATCTTTTCGGCGACAAGAAATGGTACCAATATGACTGCATTTATCGCTGAAGGCTTAGATGTTACAGAAGGTATTAGCATTGATTGGGTGGCTCGTAATCTATATTGGGTCGATTCCAGTTTAAATACCATTGAGGTTGCGTCACTTGATCGACCTAGCGCAAGGTTTTTCCTCCTATAATTTTTTACATCATTAATATCATTTTAAATCAGCGGTTAATCATGATGATAATCAAAAAGTGGAATATTAGACAAGGCTACGGCAATTTTTTTTTAAGTTATGATTCTTTTAGAGTGGTACTTTTGTATAAGAACATCGATCAACCTCGTGGAATTGCTGTAGATCCGAGAAAAGGATTGCTATTCTGGACGGACTGGGGACAGGTTGGATTTCTTGCCGATACAGAAAATTCGAGTTCCAAAGATTTCTTTAAGAAATACTAGGGAGAATAAAATTGAATTTTGAAATATAGCAATATTTTCGAACGAATGGTTTATTTTTAGGAAAAATTCTACTTACTTTCTTTTTTAAAAATTTTTACTTTGAACTATGAAATAAATCTGCGATGTTTATAGTTAAGATTTTAGAAACCTCGAATTGAACGTGCCAATATGGATGGTACAGAACGCATTATTCTTGTTGATACAAAGGTTTATTGGCCGAATACTATCGCTATAGATTTCACCACCGATCGCGTCTATTTTGCCGATAGCAAATTGGATTATATTGATTTTGTAAATTACGATGGAACTGGTAAGAGTTATAAAATATATATATGAAATAAATCTTCCTTCATCGATTTGATATTCTTTATCAAAGAATTGTAGAGAATTCCCTTCTGATTTCAAAAATTATAGGTCGAACTCAAGTGCTGGCATCTCCAAAATTCATACAACATCCTCATGCTTTAGCAATTTTTGAAGATACGATTTACTATAGTGATCGACGCTTACAACGTCTACAACTTTATACAAAATATCCAAATGGTACTTCTGGAAATTATGCGGCGCACACATTTTCTCGTGCATTAGGCGTAATAGCAGTTCATCCAGTTTTACAACCAAAAGTTGCAAATAATCCATGTTCAGGAAATCAATGCTCACATCTATGCCTTATCGGCAAAGCCATGGTTTATTTTTTTTTTTTATTTTATTGCTTAGATTTGGTAGATTCTTTAAATTTTTCTTTTGTTTGATAATATAAGGTAAAATTGGAATTTCTTTCAAATTCCTGAAATTATTGCAACAAAATTTTTTTTTTTCTGACCAGAACTGCCATCTAAATATAATTAATAAGGGTAACAAAATATTTTCAAGCTATTCCGTTTTTGCTTGTTTTAATAGGAATGAATTATTGTCTACTTACTTAATAGGAATTTTATTCAAGACGAGAGTATTATAATATTATCACTCGTAGCATTCGTAAATTAGTCTGACTTGATTATGGCCAATAGAAATTCGATAGAAATAAATAAAAAATATTCATGATATCTTTAATGGACAATTTTTTTTTATCAAATCAATTGAGTATTCTCTTATAGGTTAATCACATTCTTATCAAAAAAGAATTTGCACTTCATAAGTATTTGCTTGAAATAAGGAATCATTCTAACTCTTCACTCAAGTTAACATATTTGGTAATTGCCAGTATTTTACTTCTATAAATTTTATTTTCAGTCCTTTACATGTAAATGTCCTATGGGAAAAATATTAGATAGCAGTGGTAAGAACTGTGTCAATGATATGCAACCATTTTTGATGTTGGTGCAAAAGAATAGCATATTTGGTGTTAAAATGGACGAATCTGTGAATGGCACGCCAGCAATGTCCGGAATGGTACCAATAGCTGGTCTTAATAATGCGTTTGATGCGGCTTATGATCCTGAAACTTCAGAGGTTAACAAATTTTATAATATTGTTATCTAAAATAAGATAAAATAATTAGAAAATCAGGTAGGCAACGCCTGTTAAATTTAATAACCTCGTTTCATAAGCACATGGCTTGATTAAATTTGCTTGGCTCTTTTATGAATAAATATTTGTATCTAATCAATATTTCTATTGGATTTATAAATTAAATATCATTTTAAACATAGGTAAAGTGGTTTTGAAAAATGAATGTTTTAGCACTGATTAATTTCAATGAGGTAAAATTATCATCAAAAACCTTGGAGACTAAAAGAGAATTGAGAAATTGGAGATCTTAGAATCAATTTTTTCAGGCGTTTTGCCTTGAACATTCGACGACGAGTCGTGTTATTGGTCCAAATGCCAACTTTGATTCACGAATAATAAAGATTACATCAACGAGTAATAGAACTCAGGTGATTTTTGAAAAAAACCTTTCTTGTCTTAATTAAGAGATTCCTCGATCAAATACCTCCATACAAGGCATTATAAGTAACATTTTTTTAGAGTCCTCATCATTACTGATTAAACCCGCTCCACTGGCTTGTCGCATTGGACAATAAGCCAGGGAGGAGTCCCTTGGCGATAGAAATACAGGTGAACCACTAGCATCACCAGGATTTTTGTACAGGTTTACTCCTGCGGAAAATCGAAATTTGGGGAATTTGCTTACGGCCATAGCACCTTGAAAACACGACATCGGGTTCGATCTGCCAAATTAAGCAACGTCGGGCTTGGTTAGCACTAGGATCGGAGACTGCCTGGGAATCCCAAGTTATAAAACATTACATATAAGTGATGTAATATGGATAAAATATTTTAACAACAGCAGATGTCTTACAAAAGTGGATAACTGGGGAAAATTTACATGCATTAAACTTAAACTTACATTAAACTTGTGGAATAATAGGAAATAATCCAAGAAAAGAATCGAAAATGAGGCAATTTATAGATAAGAAAATCTGAAATCATTAGTCATTTACCAATGTTTTTTTTGCAAACAGAAATACGATTTTGATATTTTTGTCAGGTGTCAACGTCGCGAATTCCTGATGACCCATATTGCATGGCTGTGGATTGGATTGGACGCAACTTGTATGTGGGGAATAAAATTTCACAAACAATTGACGTTATTCGAACACACGGTACTCAGGTATATATTGTATTATTTTCACGTTTTCATAAGTGTATATTCATAAGTGAATTCTGGTTTAGTTGATTTAGCTAAGCTTGTCGATCCAATATTCACACCTGAAACCATGATTTTTCCATCATCTCACATCCTATGGTCCATTGGTGCTTTCAAAAGTTCCTCTGGTCACATTACTTTATTTTTAGCACATTTCTTCAAAAGCCTTGGTGTTCTCCTTCTCGGACATTAAACAAATTTTATTTTGTCTATGAATTTGTATAGAGGAAGAATATTTTAAATCTTCGTTTTAACATATATTCATAATATTTTTTTAGTATCGTGCTACCATTCTGAATAATGATCAATCTCCAACAGCGGTGGCTCAACCTGTTGCTATTGCAATCGACTCGGGGCGTGGAATCCTCTTTTGGTTAGATCGCGGTGCTGGTGCTGTTTCATCAAAGGTGAAATATTACTATTCTTCGTTATTACTGTCAACACTCTCCTCTTACATCAAAGTCGTAATTATGAAATTCCCATCGGCGGGATATTTTTATATATATTAATAAATGTTAACAAATGTGTTGAAGATGAATTTTTGGCTTTTGTGTAAAGTAAACGTCTATAACAGGTTAAAGGCCTTTATAGTTATGAAAATTTAGAAAATTAACAATAAATACGATTGATGATCGAATGGTGTACTTTTTTATCCAAGATCAACAAAATTGGACTCGACTTAGTTGAGAAATAAAATTTGATACGAGGGATCCACAAATGTTTCTATCACAAGTGGCTTTTCACCATAGGGACAGATTGGCGCGTCAACTAAGAATTTTGAGAAATATTATAGGAAAATGGGAAAAATACAGTCAAATAAAAATTATTTAGGTTGCTCGAGCTGATTTGGATGGCAAAAATGCGCTTGTTATTGTTTCCAATGATCTTTCTGAATTGGATCAAATAGCTTTGGATTTGTCTAATCAAAGAGTTTATTTTTCGGAATCTAAAGCTGGCAGAGTATGTATTTGCAATAAATTAACTAATTTTTTTTTTACAATATTTACTTATTTAAGCCAATATTTTATCTAATCGAATCTAATAAATTCGGAAACACATTAAAATTCCTTCAAAAATGAGGAAATTTGAATTGAAAAATATCTGTTGGCATCTTTCAGAGATAAAAAAAAGATGAAAAAAATTTTAGTATAAAATAATAATAAATAATAAATTTATGATAAATATCGATTAAAAATATAAATATTTACATTAAAATGTAAATATAAATATTTAATAAATATAAATATAATAATAATGTAAATATAAATATTTAATAAATATAAAATATAAATATATACATAATATTATAAATATATTTTAATATAAAATATTAAAAGTTTATAAACATTTATAATATTTAGTAATAAAATATTTAGTAAAATCCATATAATTATTTTGGTATGAACTATGCTTATAAAATATTTTTGGCCATCTAGGCATCGATAAATTTTCTTCTATTTAATTAATAAGCTGAATATGGGATTATTGCGCAGATTTCATCAGTAAATTATGATGGTCAAGATCGCCAGTATATCTTAAATGACGCCGGAAAACAACCGCGAAGTTTGGCGTTTTTCAATAATCGCTTATTTTACGCAGACAGCGCTTTTGATTCGATTGAGGTGTCCACAATACCGAATAACGGTGAAGCAATGGAATTTAAGCATTTTAGGAGAGAGATCGATCGTCTTAACAACATTCGAGTAGTTGCACCGATGTCTTGTATGTTTTTTTTTGCTTAGCAATTCTATCTTAATTCATTAAATATAGAGGAGGGGGGGGGGGGGAGGAAAGAGAGCTTAGAATGGCTCATTAGGCTATTGCTGTTGCTTTGGAGCGTCAATGGTGAAGTTCCACTACTCCAGTAGAAATACAGGTTTTTAATTAAAAGATACTATCGACTCAGTTGTACTTTTATCACTAACATTCAGCATTCTGGCTTGCCAAGAGAATAGAGTGAGTACAATCAGAAATAGCAGTAAGTTTTTAGAAAAGAAAGAATATCATTTAAAGCCTTTACTGATAATTCTAATCAAAAAAAAGATATCTTTACCTTCATAAAGGCAAAAAATTAAATATTTTTTTAGCAACATTTTCTCATCCTTGTCGTATAAATAATGGAAACTGTGAGCATTTATGTATTGCACGTCCTTATTCTCAACATCAATGTATTTGTGCATCCGGTTATATTCTTGAGGGCGCAACTCGTTGTAAACTCTATGATCAATCGTTTCTTCTAATCGCTACGAAGACAAGATTGATGGGTATACAGTAAGTCTTAATTCTATATTTATATCTTTCTTTTTAGCTATTTGAATTTTAATTTTATATGAATTTAAATCGTTGAAAAAATTTAGGCTAAATAAAGGTGAATCGAAATCGATAGCACTAGAACCGATTGGAGGAACTTCGATAACAGCCGTTGATATCGAATATGAGAGTAAATCGATATTTGTAGCCGAATCAACGGGTCCAAATCGGGGTATCCATCGATTAACATTAGGAAGTAATGAGATGAAACCAGTTGTTAAAGATGTGTTTGGTTCATTCTTAATACGAAGTATTGCTGTCGACTGGATTAATTGTAAGAATTTTTAAATTCAATTATTTTCCTTCATATAAAAGCTATAAGCTATTTTTCTTGTTTGGCTTGATTTTTAAAAAATGTCACCTATGTCACCAAAAAATCTATAGAGATACAAGTCGATCTCCAGCACCAACCAGATTATATTCCTAAGGGAAAAAGATGGTGCCAATCTATGGTGCCACTCGAAACAATTATTTTATCATATTTATTCTATTATATTTCCATATTTGAGCTTGGAACATTTAGTATTAAAATATGCCTTTTCAGATAATCTCTATTTTATAAACGTGGATTTCGAACGAACACATCTGGAAGTATGTCAATTAGATGGAAAGCATAGAAAAGTTTTATTGTCAACAAAAACAGAAACACCGACATCAATTGCCGTTGATCCAATTTCTCGATATCTATACTGGGTAGATCAAGGTCAGCAACCTTCCATACAAGTATGTTTTTGTTATTTTTGTTATTTTGTTAAGTATATTTTTGTTTTTTCTTTTGAATTATCACTAAAAATTCAAAATTTTTTTAGTTTTTTAATTAAAAAATTAGTCCTTAAAATTTTTGATAGGATTTTTTTCGATTGCCTTTTATTTTAAGAAATTTTAATTGAATTTGAATGATAAATGATCATTCAAGTTCAATTAAAAATTTGAATGATAAGTGATAAAATGAAAATTTTTTTTTTTAGCGATCATTTTTGGACGGTTCGAATAGGCAAGTTATCATCCATAAAGGTATTGCGGAACCAACTGATCTAGTTGTTGATCCAAACAGCCATATGATTTACTGGACGGATGCAAAACTCGACGGTAACTTCTATTGAAATTCAGACTCATTCATTGAATAAGATATTTAATATTTGTATTTTCATATGAATCATTTTTAGGTATATTTCGAGTACGTTCAGACGGTGGGACACCTGAATTGGTGCGAAGTGATATTGCTGCTGGTGCAGGTATCGCATTACTCGGTCAAAATATGTACTGGACCGATAGTCGTCTCGAAAAAGTGTTCTCTGCGACAAGGTCATTCTTAAATTTGTTGGTTTACTGTGGTCTTTTTTTTTTGAATTTCATAAATTTCATATTAGTTTTATTAAATTAAATTTTATAAATTTTATATAAATTAATTAATTTATTTGGAAATTTTTTTTTTTAGTTTTAATATAAAACTAAAAAAAATTTTTCATGAATTAAAAATTTCAGCAAACCAAATCAAACTTTATTTTCACCAGTAACATTGGCAGCTAACTTAGCAGAACTTGGAAATGTTGTTGTGTTCGATGAGTCGGTTCAGCCGAGAGCATCATCACCATGCCAAATAACAGATAATTTGAGAAAGAGTCCGTGTCCTCAGTTGTGTTTTGCCACTCCATTAAGTCAAAATCCGACTTGTGCATGTGCTCGAGGTGTACTTAGAGGAAGATCATGCGAAGGTTGTCCAATTATTTTTTTTATATATATTTTGTTAGGGATTATAAGTTGGCAACTTTAAGAATATTGAATGTAATAAAGCTAAAATTAAATATGAATTCTTTATAAAATTTAGTATTTTACAGAACCAAATTCATATTTAATGTTTATCGATGGTGATCGAATTGTCGATGCACCTATTGAACCTGATGTCAAAGCTTCCACACCACTAAAAGAATCGTTCTCTTCAATTGATAATCTCCAAAGTTTTGATGTTGATATCAATTTAAGACGGATATATATTGTAACTGAATCGCCGCTTGGAGTAAATATCTCTTGGTTTGCTATGAACCAACCAAATCAACAGCGGTACGTTCTTCTTTACAAATAGTCAATTATGATTTAATAATATTTTATGAATTAGGCTAAAATTTTTAAAATTTTTATTTTTTAGCTTAATTTTCGGCCAAACAAAACCAAAATTATCGGAAAATGCTGTTCGCCATATTTCTGATATGAAACTGGATTGGTTAACGCAAAAGATTTATTTCACCACTGGGCGGTATTATTTTTTTGCTAATTTTATCCTAATATCAATTTTTTAGGATATTTTCCACCATGCTTTATGTAATTAAGAGAATTTTTAGTGGAGGTAAAATCTATGTAATGGATGTACAAGGTGAGCATGTAGCGACAGTCGCTAATGGTGACTGGACTTATGCGATTGCATTGGATCCATGCGCTGGTTTAATGTTTTGGTCCGATAGTGGATATAAAATTTCAGGAGGTAATTCTTTAGTAGTTTTTGCTTCATATTTCACTTATAGAAATTTCTTAGGTCTTTCTTTCGATTTATTTATCCTCTGGATCTTCGATCTACTCTTTTTATTCACCCTTAAATGCGGATGGATGATTAAGATGTGGAACGATTGACTCGTTAAGCGGCGCTACCATATAAATACACCATCATTTATATAATTTGTTAAAATTTTTCAGTATTTGGACCTTTGCGTGAGGGTGAATTAGCGGATGAAGGCAAGCATTGAGTTTTACGATTGCTTTAAAAAATATTTTTTCCAACAATTTGGGTGTTTTTGCTTTGCATAGTCTTTTTTTTAGATTGGGTTTTTTTTAGCACAATTTTGCTGTGTTATTTTTTTTAATTAATATTTTATTAAAATTATTCTATAATTCTTAATTAATGTTGTAATTATTATTTAATATTTCTAGGTGTATATGAACCTCGAATTGAAAGGGCAAATTTAGCTGGCGGTGATCGAAAGGTAATTATAAAAGAAGGTGTTAGCCTTCCAGCTGCGATTACCGTTGATTATCGCGAGCAAAGGATCTATTGGGCCGATGTTAATAGGTTATCATATTGGCATTTGAGAAAGATGAGATAGGAGTTTTTTGAAATCGAAATATTTCAATTTTTTATTAATATCAAAATTATTATAATTATTATATTAATATATAAATTATTATATTATATTTATATTATATCAAATTATTTATTATGAGAATAATAATAATTTAATAATAATAAAAATTAAAATAATTTGAATAAATTTAGGAATTTAGGAATTATGGAATTTTTTTTTTTTTTTCAAATTCAGAGTTGTTAAAATTAAGATTGGATATTGAATCGTGTGATTATAACGGGAATAATCGACGTACCATAGGAAATGGTTATCGCGCAAAAAGCCTGGAAATTTGGAGTCAATGGTTATATTTTAGCGATCCGCTTGCTAATGGTGTTTTTCGAATTAATAAAGTTATTATTATCATTATTATCATTATTATTATTACTATTATTATTATGTTAAAATTTGAAATTCTCATTCGATAAATTTTTCAAGTGTTTAATGTTTTAGAAATTTAAGGAAAATAATAAATTCGTTGAATTTTTTGGCAAAATTTCGCGAAAAAAAATTAAAAATCATGTTTTGCCTAATTTGCCGAAATAAGATAATGCTTATTGCAAAAATAAGACTGCTAACAAGTCGCTCGGAGGAACCTCCGTGTTCCTATTTCTGTTTCCTATTTCCTGCATGGCCTATTTCCATTTTTAATTTTATAGGTGTATTTTGATTAAAAAATTCCAATCTATACTATTTCGCGAACTATTTAATATAGACTAATTTCATCTCCAATGAATTTCACCAGCGTTAAATTATTTTTTATAAAATCTTATCGTCACTAATCGTTCATCGTTCTAATTTAGGATACTGGTGGAGAATTTGAAGCAGTAGCTGTAGATCGAAGAATTCCATCAGTTATACATATATTCGCATCCGGTAGCGATATTCGCGAAAGATCGCAATTTTGCAGTTCATTAACCAGTAATTTATGCAAAAAGGACAATGGTGGATGTGAGCAGGTCTAAGTTTACTGAGCTAAAACTTTTTTATTCCCGTTATTAATTGTACCTGGTAAATTACCTTTCGATAATTCTTTACTGGCATATACGATAGCTTTTCAGATAAGCTAAAGGTGAATATTGCTTACTTTGCTCTTATTTTTTAATACAACATATATGATTTTACTCGGTGATTTTTTAAAATAGCCACAAATTGTAAGCTCCTCAGCTTCCCTTTATTTGGTCTCTAAAACTGATTCATTGGTACTTTCTTTGTTCTTTTGGAATTCGAAATTTATGGATCTTTTTTAAAATTTACATTAATGAACATGAATATAAGAATTTTTCACTTTATTTTTTGAATTCTTGAAATTAGAAAGAAAATTTCGACTTTAGTTTCGTTTTTCCTTAGCCAAATAGTTATTTGTAATAATATCAAATCGATTAAAACGATTAATTGGATCCATTTTTCCTCGAGAAAATAGATATTTTCGTACTTTTTAGCTTTGCGCTGTTGTACCAACTGATATTGGCGTTGCTGCATCGAAAATTCAATGCTCTTGCAATGATACGTATGAACTTGTTCAGTTACCTGGAAAGGATATTGCCACTCAATGCGTATTGAAAAATGATTTCCGTGGCGTAAATTTTTTCCACTTCATTTATATTTTTATATTTTTTATATTAATCGCTAAGCTATACGATTAGTGCGTATATCAACTTCGCCTTAATTAGTTCCTTATTTTAAAATTCTTGAATATAACTATTAGAATAGTGGCATGTGATGGCGACTCATCTGTACTTCTATCGCCAAGAGACTCAAGAGACTCCCAAGAGATGCATATTTGTACAGTATGACCAGCCAGCCAGTCGAGTTTAATCAGTAATGATCAGATCTTAAAAAAAAAAGAAAAAAAACTTATTTTGAATGGCAATTGCTCACTTGGCTTTCTGCAATAGCGGTGAATTTGGTTCAGTTTTATTGCATTATTGGAGTTTTCTGAATCTGATTTTGGTAGGATTCTAAATTATCTGCAGCTTTTTCCACTAAATCCACTTTCTCATTATCTCATTTTGCAGATATGTCAACCACCATATAATTTCGAATGCGGCGATGGTACTTGTATTTCACTGAGTGATACTTGTAATGGAGTAACTGACTGCTCAGACGGATCCGATGAACATCCTACATATTGTAGTATGTTTTATTATTTTATATTTTTTTCTTCTTTTTTTTAATTTATTTTTTACTTCTAAGGTCCAAAATTTATAAGAATTTCGAATTTTTCTTTAATTGACCATTTTAAATATTTTTTTAATATTCCGTGGATTAAAACGCCGTGAATTAGCTTATGTTTATTACAGATACCAGAGTTTGTCCTGAGAAATATTTCCTATGTACAAATAGAAGATGTATTGAAACTGGTCGCCACTGCAATGGTATTGATGACTGTGGGGATAACTCCGACGAATTGAATTGTGCATCAGGCACAGCTTGTCCAGCTGGCCATTTTGCTTGTTCTAATGGACATTGTATCAGTGAAAGCAAGGTGTTTTTTCAATTGATAAGTCGATTACGAAATATAGTTTGGCTAAGCTTTTCTTCACCAAATAAAAAATGGACAATTTTTCAAGCATGAACTGAACATGGACTTCATTCAAAAAATAATTACCTACTTATTTATTTGTTTATTTTAGGTATGCGATGGTCATAATGATTGTCATGATGAAAAAGTGTCGGATGAAAGTAAAAGCACTTGCCCAAATTTGCCTATAGATTGTCGTGGTGTACGAATCCGCTGCCCGAATACTAATATTTGTATTCAACCAGCTGATCTTTGCGATGGTTATGATGATTGTGGTGATAAATCCGATGAAAATAAACTTTTCTGCATGAATCAATCTTGCGCAACTCATTAGTAAATTCATTTTTTGTGAAATATTTTAGAATTTTAAAAAAATAAATATTTAAAAAATATTTAGAAAAGTTTTTTAAAAGTGTTTTTTCGTACATTAGAACGATTTGCAACGATTTTCATATATTTTAAGTATCGAATAATAAGGAAAGATTATCGCTAAATGAAAATAATATAATAATTTTCACTTCTTCAGCGTTCGTTGTCCAAGTGGTCGATGTATTCCCGAAACTTGGCAATGCGATGGTGACAATGATTGTGGTGAAGGTGCATGGGATGAAACGCATAAAGATTGCGCCGATGAAAATGGTCGAAGAATTTGTCATGGCGAATATTTATTCCAAGTATGCAATGATAAAGTTTGCAGTGATAAAAGCACATTTCCCATTTAAATTTGTTAAAGGAACCACTGAACCATAGTTTTTTTTTGAGTTCTTTATGCGATCTAAATTTTTTCGTAAATTTTGGTAGTATCGAGTAATTTATAATTCTTTAAGTTATTTCGCGAAGCTTGAATTCTGTCAAGAATTTTTTAAAAAATTTTAGTTCATTTTAGCTCAATACTAGTTTCTCAAGCTAAATTTTTTAGTGTAACAATGGTAAATGCATAAGTCGTGCATTTATTTGTGATGGCGAAGATGATTGCGGCGATTCCTCTGATGAGAGTTCCATTCATAATTGTGGTAAGAAATTCTTAGTTTTTTACCCAGATGTACTATTTTAATTAATTTAAAATTACTATAATTAAATTTTTATTATTTTTTAGGTTAAAAATATTATAAAAATTGAATGAAATTAAAGGTAATCGTACTTGCTCGGATCAAGAATTTCATTGTCGATCAAATGCTCTTCTTGCCCAACCAAAATATGAATGTATACCAAAGTCGTGGTTATGTGACGGTGATGTAACATGTGCGGGTGGTGAAGATGAAAGTAAAGAATTATGTGGAATTGAGAAGAAAGATTGTAATAAAGGAGAATTCAGGTCCCTCTTTAGTTTTTTTTCTGTTTTTATGAGACAATTTTATTATTTTTATTTAATTATTGTTTATTATGATAATAATTATTAATTATTACTAGTTATTTCTTTATTGTTTATTATTTTTTAACTACTATTTATCATTTCTTATTACTTATTTTCATCATTTATTATTATTTTTATAGTATTAAGAATTATGTGGAATTGGAAAGAAAGATTATAATAAAGGAGAATTCATGTTTTATTTTTTTATATTTATTTTTTTTGTTTTTTTTAAGAATTTTATTATTATTATTATATTATTATTTACTGCTATCATTTATTATTAATTATCATTTAATCATACTTTAACTATCATTTACTAATTATTATTATCTGTTGTTTATTTACTTTTTATCATTTGTTATTTATCAACTACCAATAATTATTTTTTATTTATTTTTATTACTATTCGCATTATTATAATAGCCATTGTTATAAATTAAAAAATCTTTATTTTAGATGCATGAATAGTCACTGTATACATGCTTCATGGGAGTGTGATGGTGATAATGACTGTCTAGATGGGTCCGATGAACATGCGAATTGCAGTAAGTTTTATTAATTTTTTAGAGGTGAGCAATTCCTTCTGCACCATTTCTCATCGATTCTGATTTGGTTGCTTGCATTGACTTCTAGGATAAATGCGACATTTTCATTGAAGGCGGCTCATTGAAGATAAAATTGCATGGGGACTCCCAATATTGTTCTAACTTTACCTTTAATGACAGGTATATGACAGGTCTACATACTTGTCAAGAGACAAGAGTTTAACCTATGATGTTTTATCTTGGTCTCAGAAATATACTACTCTTGCAAGTTTCAGCTACACCTGCCGCAGTTTTATTAATATAGAATCCAGGCTGATCAATTCTCATTCCCATTAATTATTTCTTCGATTCCTTTTGCCATTAAAATAAAAAGATATCTTGTAGCTTATTCACAATGCCAACCAGAATTCTGGCAATGTTCGAATCACAAATGTATTCCCAATTCGTGGAAATGCGATGGTAATGACGATTGCGATGATGGTAGTGACGAGAAGGTTAGTATCAATGTTGTCATTTTTAGAAAATAGGTTGGTTTCGGTGACGGCAAGAAATTTTGCGTAAAACATGGCATCCAGGCTATTTTCACTGAGCAATAATTACTACTTGAGTTTAGTCAAATTAGTCTTTGGAATGATTTTTATAGGATTGTCGCGGTGTGAATAATTCAAGCGGATCGCGCAATTCTTGTCCACCGGGTCAATTCTATTGTACAAGTGGTGAATGCATTGATAATAGTAAAGTTTGTGATCGAATTTATGATTGTGCTGATCGTTCAGACGAATCGTCTACATGCTGTAAGTTAAATTCTAATAATAATTCATATCACTATAGTGATTTTGTTCATTTTTTTTTCTAATTTTATGTTCAATATTGGTTGAGAATTGCCTCGAACCTATTAAGATTGCCTGTAAAAAATGGTACTCTCGAATTTATTTATTTTCAGTTGTTAACGAATGTACAACGTCGCAATTCCCATTATGTGAACAGAAATGTGTTGATCTACCCAAAGACTACAAATGTGAATGCTACGAGGGATTCGCACTTGACAAAGATGACAAAAAATCTTGTCATGATATCGATGAATGTGAAGGTGAATGAAGAAATCGACAAATATTTAATATTTGGCTTGAAATTTTTCCTTCTTTTTATTTAGTCTTAATTTTTCTGAATATTTAGATGGAAGTTCAAGTTGCAGTCAACGTTGTGAAAATAAAATTGGTACATATAAATGTTCATGCGTTGATGGATATTCCATGACAAGCGATGATCATACTTGCAAGCGCGTCGATCCCGTTTGTCATTCAGTTTTAAAAAATTCTACGAAAAATTCTTTTTTTTTTTAGCTATTTTTTGTTTTAAAACATTCAAATATGGTGGCTTTTTGCTTAAAATTCTTTTAAGAAGAATTCAATTTTTTTAAGGAACCTGAACCTTGGTTACTCTTTGCAAATAAACATTATATTAGAAAGCTGAGCTTCGATGGGGAAAACTATGAGCTTATTGCGAGAGGATTCGAAAATGTTATATCTGTTGATATTGATATGACCGAAAGAAAGGTACGATTCTCTATATTCTACATAATGGAACTTTAATTTAGTTCATTTGTGATCCATAGAAATTTTCGTAATCAAAACTGACTTTTTTTTTTTTTTCAGGCGTATATAATTGATTCAGGAAAATTACGTCTTTATAGAGTTGGATTAGAAGAACTCGACAAGCCAGTTACTTCTTACGAAATTGTCCTTCGACATAATATTTTCGGAACCGAAGGTTTTCAATTTTTATATTACTTTAAATCACATATTATATAAATTTCGTTGAAAGAATCGTAATCGCATATTATTCTTTAAAAATTTTAATTTTTTAATTTTAATTAAAATTAATTAAAATCTAATTAATTTTCTAATTAATTTTAATTTTCTAATTTATTTAATTTAAAATTTTACATTTTTACATTCAATTTAGGTATTGCTGTTGATTGGATAGGTCGTAAATTTTATATGTTAAATCGGCAAGATAGAGCATTACGTGTTTGTGAGCTTGATGGTAGATTCTGTAGAACTCTAATTCGAGATCGCATCGTTCAGCCTAAGGTTGCATTCAACCTATACTATGGAATTAATAAAATAAAAATTGGCAAAAATTCACAAAAATATGCTTATTTAGCAAAGTTATTATAGGCGATAGTAGTCCATCCTGGTCGCGGCTATGTATATTTCACTGAATGGAGCTTACAACCGTATATTGGGCGTATTTCAATGGATGGTTCACCAGAATTGGCTGATCCTGTTGTTAAACTAGCTGAAAATGATCTTGGTTGGCCAAATGCATTAACAATCGATTTCTTTTCAGACAAGTAATTATAATTATCAGTTATTCGAATTATTTAATTTAATTCTAAATTTATTATTTTATAAAAGTTTATTTATTGGATGAGAAATGGCTGGCTCAATGCTCGGGCTCACTTCTTATTTTGAATGCTAGAATTTTATTTCTTTACTTACCTTTCGAAATTCTCGGTGACACTGGCACTGGTAACACTGGTGACTTATTTGTATTTGTATCGACATGTAATTTCCTAAGAAAAATCATTAATTATTAATCTTTTTTTTGAATTATTTAAAACATTTTTTATGGTAAGAACTATTAAGATTGTATTGGGCCGATGCGCATCTCAATGAAATTGGTTTCATGAATTTGGATGGAGGAGCTAGACATCATATACCGGCTAAACGTACTTCTCATGTCGCATCGATGGCAGTCTTTGATGATTATCTTTTCTGGACTGATTGGAATTTGCTTGAAGTGATAAGAGCTGATAAGTGGAGAGCAGCTAATGAAACAGTCTTGAAGATAACAACGCAACTTCCTAACGATATTAGGGTATAGAAAAAAATTTTTATTAGAGAAATATTTTTTAAAAATAATATATTTTTTAAAGGATTGCAATAAAAACTGCCGGATTCGATTTTTCAGTGGAATCCCATAAGCAATTAGCAATGAGTGATGGCATGACTTCAAAGAAGTATGTAATAAGTACGTATTTATTTAAGGTTATTCATCCATTCCGTCAACCAAAATATGTTAATCCATGTGGTACCAATAATGGTGGCTGTTCACATCTTTGCCTAATATCAGCAAATGAAAATAGTACTAGTTATACTTGTTCATGTCCCGATCAGTTTATTTTACTCGCTGATAATAAGACATGTGAACCACATTGTACTGACCGACAATTTGCTTGCGGAGGTGAAGATGCGAAATGTATTCCAAAACTGTGGTACTGTGATGGAGAAGCAGATTGCCGTGATGGAAGCGATGAGCCCGGTGAAGGAATCTGCGGTAAAGATATTTTGCTAAATCTACCAAATGCATTCTTCATTTAATAGCCTTGATCAATTTTATTTTGATTTGCTTTACTGATCACTGGAATACGATCTTTTCACCATAGAACTTGCGGATATAATCTAGAAACAGTTGGATTCTCAGCAGTAGTCGGTTTTCACGTTCGGTGCTTGGTTCCCTGGATTTTATCTTCTAACAAATCAGAAACAAAAATCAAGCCTAATCGAAAATTATCCTTGGTCTAAGTCGAATTAAGTACTACCATCTTGTTTTATTTCAAGTCAATATTTAAAGTTAGGAAAAATAATCATTTCACTGGAGAAATTTAATTCGATTACAGGGCTACGGATTTGCGCAGTTGGTGAATTTCAGTGTTCCAATCATAACTGCACTAGGCCTTTCCAACTTTGCGATGGGAACGACGACTGTGGTGATGGCAGTGATGAAGTAATTCCAAGTTCATTCCAATTCTTGTATAACATTCTAAATTCCTTCCAAACGAGTCATAAATATTACCAATGAAGATATATTTCAATATTTTTCGGATATAAATCTTTTTCCAAAAAAATTTCCTAAAAATGTTAAAGGTCGATTGTGATAAGCCATGCGATCCTTGGATGTTTAAATGTGCTGCCACTGGCAAATGTATTCCAAAGAGATTCGCGTGTGATGGCGATGATGATTGTGGCGATCGATCTGATGAATCGGATACAATTTGCAGTTTGTTATTTATTCTTTCTTATTTATAAGAGAGAAAAGTTCCAAAGAGAAATTAATAACTTCATTTATAGAAGTTTTCTGGAGTGAAAAAATTATTTCTAATTTTAGAAAATCACTTACGAAATTGTACTGCTGAAGAGTTCCGCTGTACCAATCATAAATGCATACCAAAAGCATGGAAATGTGATAATGATGATGACTGTGGCGATGGATCAGATGAACCCTCCGAGTGTGTTAATGTTGAATGTAGGAAAGGATGGACTCGTTGTGCAACATCTTATAGGTGTATATATATATATATATGCTTTTCATTCATCTTCAGAAATTCCAATTATTTGATTTGCTTAACGATTATCTACGAATTCTCTTTAAAACTTATCCATAGAATTTGCTCTTAGATGTATACCAAACTGGGCTTTCTGTAATGGACAAGATGATTGTCGAGATAACTCGGATGAAATAATAGAGAGATGTCCCAGTTGTGATGATATCGGCGAATTTCGTTGTGCGACTTCGGGAAAATGCATTCCAAGGTTGTCCGTTTCATAAATAGGATTTTTGCTAAATTTCCTAAGAGCCCTCACCATTGTTGATTAGGTTGGTTCGCTGGCTTATCGAACCAGAAAAATTTTGCTAGAGAGATGGATTATTTATTGATAAAAGTTCTGGTGAATTGTCAGCATTGTACGAATAATAATATTAATAATAACTTTAATAAATAATGTGAGTTTATTTCATTGTATGGTTATAAAATAATTTTAGAAGGTGGATGTGTGATAGTGAAAATGATTGTGGTGATGATTCCGACGAGACAGATCCATCTTGCGGTGGAACATCTCGACCATGCTCTGAATCAGAGTTTCGATGTAATGATGGACGTTGCATTCCAGGAAGCAAGGTAAGATGTTCACCATTAATGAGAACTATTTTACTCTGCTTGAATTTATTGTATTACTTTGAGATTTTATGTTATTTTTCAGGTTTGCGATGGTACTGTACAATGTAATGATGGCTTAGATGAATCGCAGTGCAAAATTCGACAATGCGCTACAGGATTTCATCAATGCATCGATGGAACCTGCATTCCGGAACATCGTTGGTGCGATCGTCGTAAAGATTGTCCAGACGCATCCGATGAAGTTCATTGTGACGAGCATCCGAATCGCCGTTCATGTAGTCCATTCGAATTTGAATGTGCTAATTCTGTTTGTGTACCACGTAAATTCATATGTGATGGTGATAATGACTGTGGTGATAATTCGGATGAAACTACTGAAATATGCAAAGGAGCTGTCTGTGAACCACCATTACGATTTCGATGCGCGCATTCTCGTCTTTGCCTAAATATACTTCAGGTTCGAGAAGACTTTGTTGTTCACGAAAAATCTAAATCTATATTCGGTCCAGTGCTTCTTAATTTTCTTTCTCTAATCAGCACTTTTTGATATTTTATATTTCTTTGTACTTTCATGGAAGATTTTTCCTAAGAATGCTCATCATTAGGCTCATTCATTTGGCTTGTCGAACCAAGCAAATTTAGCTGGAAAGCTTTAGAAGTACATGTAAATTACAGTATGAGCCTTAGAAGTAATGTAATTTGACAGTATCACTGGCATATTTGAAAGATGATAAATTCACTCCTCTCATAAAAAGCACCGGCATTCCGAAATAAGAGTAATCCATTCAATCCATTGAGCCATTCTGCTCCCTGAGGGGATTGAAATTTGTTCATTAGGTAAGTATTTTCAACTAACTTGTAGTAAATATTTGTATATTGCATGTCAATTTGCATGTTATTCTTTTTATAACCTTATTGATCAAATCTTATCAATGTTCGAGATTTAAGATTTAAAACTTAAACGAGTGGCAAAAATTTTATAGTTATGTAACGGTTTCAATGACTGTGGAATACACGATTTCTCGGACGAACACCTATCTATGTGTAGTTCATTCTCGGAATATGGTGATTGTTCAACCGATGAGTTCAAATGCACGAATGGCAAATGCATAAATGCAACTTTAGCATGCGATCATAACGATGATTGTGGTGATGCGACTGATGAAATAGGATGCGGTTAGTTTCCTTTTTATATGGCCTCTTGATCGCTGATAATTGCATGATTTCGTAAAATTGCCATTTTTCAAGTTTTTATGATAAATTTCAGCAAAGAAGAACGGTATTACCTGTAATACAAATAATGATAATGGTGGATGTAAGCATTTATGTACGGATGTAAGTGATGGCTATTATTGCCATTGTAGAGAGGGTTTTCAAACAAATCCCGAAGATCCATTTGATTGTATTGATATCGATGAATGCAGCGGAAATAATACTTGTACTCAGGTTATTAAATTTTAGTTATTTTCGTTGCAACACAGCTTGAATTAATTAGCCTTTATACAGAATTCTTTAGTGGATTGATAAGGAATTTTGTCAGTTATCAGTTATCAATTCGTTTTAGATTATCAATTTTTTAAATAAATATTTAATGAATTGCCGTAGAGATTCATCGAATGGCTTAAAAACAATGCAAATAGTAAAAAATTAAAATCGATTTTAATTTTTTGAATATTATTTTTTAGTCATGTTTGAATACGAAAGGTTCGTATTTATGCAGATGTCTCGATGATTTCGAGAATAATGTTGTGGTTGGAGCGATGACTGGGAAAGACTGTAGAGCAAAGGTAATGATATTTTATACAGTTCGGCTTCTTTAGATGAAAATAAGTGACTTATGATGAATTAGTGGGAAGTTAGGAAGGAAGGAAGGAAGGCATCGCATTATATTTGTAACATTTCCATTCAGGTTTTTTTTAATTTCTAGTGATTTTATTTCAGGGAGAACCGGCATTGATAATGATAGCATCTAATGATGAAGTTGTGCAATTAAATCTCGCGCACACTAATGGAACTGTACGACATCCAGCAGCAAAATCGGTGGGTAACGGTGATCTAATGGCCGTGGAATTTGATCCGCGTCGTGAATTAATGTTCTGGATCGATAATGAGCAAAAGGCTATTTATCGCTCAGCTCTTCCGAAAGGTATTAGAATTTTTGATTTTTAAAAAATATTACAAATATTGTGAAATAAATGATCAACAGGGAAAGTTGAATCTAAGCTTCGTGGTTATGGATGATTTGCCACCAGTTGCGATTTGATAGTATTGTTGGTCAATTTCTGGATAAAATGGAGATATTTCTTAAAGAAGGAAAAAATTTACAGGGAACCAATCACATATTGGTCAACAACTCGACATAGATTTTAGAAAATTGGGAATGACCCCGATGGCAATGGCTGTTGATTATCTTACCGGGTTTGTTTTCCTCAAAATATGACGCCTAAAATACCATAGGAGTCCTAAGGTTCCTATGGTGCAATAACTTCCAATCTCTAAAATTTGGATGGTATTATGTTGGCATTATAAATTTTTTGTAAAATTATAGAAATTTATATATAACGACAACTTCTGATTACTTATCATTACGTAACAAGCGGATGTCTGAACCTAGAATTGAGGGGAATGCTGGAGCCATTTATGTTGCCAAATCCGATGGTCGTTATCTTCGAAAGATTATCGAGGGTAGACTTCAATCGCCATTAGCAATTGTATGCTTACCACAGCTTGGTCGCATTTGCTATACAGATGTTGGAACTCAAGCCAAGATTGAATGTGCTGATATGGATGGTAACCATCGTGAGGTTGATTTCTTATATATAACTTGTAATGAATTTTTTAGTAATTAAAAGAGTTAAAACCTATATTTATTAACTAATCCACTTTATCTTTATCTTTAGATTATCAGTATTTTCATTTGGGTTATCAGGGTTATCAGGTGTCGAAGCTTTTGATTCAAGCGTCGCATTTGAAGCTTTGTCAGTTCCCAGTCCTGAAAAATTTATTAATTCCTCAATAGATTAATTCTCAGTAAACAGTTATATAAATATTTTAGATTATTGTGAATGAATTAATATTTACGCCAACTGCACTAGCGGTCGACGAAGCAAAAGATAATCGCTTATATTGGGCTGATCCTAAATTTCATAAAGTTGAAACTATTTTACCTGATGGTACTTCTTGATGAGTTTATTGTAAATTTATGATTATAAGAAATAGAGAGTATTAGGAAATATATGAAATCTAATGGCAGCAGTCTAGTCATTAGCTTTTTTAAAGCCTTTTTCTTGCTTATAATCTAAAATATGCTAGCAGTAATTTTCTAAGTGGATCATAATGGAACTTGAAACTTTTTCTTTAAACATGTGGAATTTTATTGTCTACTGATTAATAAATTTAAGGTTCAAAACGTACAACAATTATTTCGGATAACCGTCGACCAACAGCAATTGATGTCTTTGAAAATAATATTTATTGGGCTTCAGAAGAGACCTCAAATATTTATGTTCAAGTAAGTGTGTTAATTTCTGGTTTGGGTGTCCGAATTGATTACAAAAATCCGAATTGATTACAAAAATGAGCTATTTTCGCCAGCGAATGAGGTTGGAAATAGAAGTAATGGCAAGTGTGCAATAATAATTATTTATAGCCGAAATAAATATTTATAGCCAAAAGATTGCCCGATTCCAAATACCTTGGGTCCACTCTAATATCAAATTGACAGGCAAAAGATGATATTACAATTCGGATCACGGCAGCTAGAAATGCGTTCTTCCGGTTGAAAAAATTTTTATGGAGTCGTGAAATCACCATAAAAACGAAAGTCAGCATCTATGTAGCGTGATCCTTTCGATCTTGCTATATGGTTCTGAGACATGGCCAATGAAAATGGAGGATATTAAAAGTACGGATCGGTCGAGCGGATAAGATATCACAAGATCGCATCCATCTTCGTTCAAATACCACTTGCATGAATAATGTTATTACAAAGCGCCGCCTTCGCTGGTTAGGAAACGTTCTCGTCCACCACAGGAGTTGACGCATATTTCGCTTGCTAAACCGTGTGATGGTTGGCGTCAAAAGTGAGGTGGGCCAATCAGGACCTGGACTGATACGGTGAGAAAAGATTTTGAACGTATAGGTGGACCAGCAATATATGGACTTACACGATGGAAAAGGGAATGGCTTCCATTACTGTTGACGATGGCATCAGACCGCGCCGCTTGGAAGCGTCTTACCCTTGTAGCCATTGGAGCCAGCCTAACCAGTAATGATGAGAGCTGTTAGAAGAAGAAGAAGAAGTCAAAAGATTATATTTCATCGAGAAAGATATTCTTTCTATTTCTCTATATTTTTATTGGATATTTCTTAATTGTTCAAAATTATGGCTAACAATTTTTGAGAACTTTCAGGATAAATTTGGACGTGGACGTGTTCATATTCTCGCTTCAAACGTGCCTAATGTTCGTAGCATTCGAGTACAACAACGTTTCGCTCGTGATGTTGTTCGCGCAGAATCTTCATGTGCTCGTGCTTCATGCACACACTTATGTGTTGAACTGCCAGGAAATGGCTTTTCTTGTCTTTGTCCTGATTTATCAACGTCACTCAATGTAAGTTTAATTGAATGCGAAACATATTCTGGTAAAAAGATACCATTGTTACGATATATTATTTGTGATCAGTTACAATCTATGAGAATCTATAAAAGATAAAGATAGTGATGCAAACTCAAGAAAGGAATATTTTTTTCAAGGACGGATCATGTTCGGGACCTGAAGTCGAAGAATTACGTATGCCAATACAATGTGCTTGTCAAAATGGTGGTGTTTGTCAACTGGATGGTACTTGTGATTGTGGCGAGTTTGAAGGTGAAACTTGTCAAAGGCCATCAACGGTTTCTCGTCAAGTGAGAAATTAATTATTATTGTGGTATTATTCGCTTATAAATCAGCAAAATTAAGTTAAAAAAATCAAAATTTACAATGAAATTTAAAATTTGAGAAATTAAAGGAAATAAAAATTTAAATAAATAATATAAAATAAATTAAATAATAAGATAAATAAAAAAGCGAAAATATATATTTAAATATATCATATATTTTATAAAAATATTATCAGAGACAATTGCATCTTGTGGGAAAAGAGAATCTGAGAATCTTATCTTTTATCACTTGTTTATTGATTATTAAATTATTATTAAAATCTTTTATCATTTAAACCTTTCTTCTAATTTTTTGCATCATTTTTTTTGCATCGCCTAAATTCATCTCATTGAAAATACTTATTATTTATAGTTCGATTATAGCGAAGATTTTTTTTAGTTAATTGGACGATTTGGCTCAAATATGATTTTGGCTATTGCTCTTCTTTTAATGCTTACAGCATGCCTTGTATTGGTTGCATTTATCGCTGTTGGAATCTATAAAAAACGATTATTGTTGTTTAAGAAAACTGAAGCTGCTGAAAGTGGTGTATCGTTTCATGGAAATGTGATTTCATTCAGCAATCCAGTTCTTGATCATAAACCTGTTCGTTTCTTTTCATCTTATATAAATATAAAAATCTTTCTTAGTTATAACGGTTTTGATGCTTTGATCAGTGATTATCAATGTTTATCGCGTGATAATGAAAAAAGATATAATTTTAAATATTTAGGATGAAGCAGTTCCAGTTGAATATAGCATGATCCAGATAAGAAATGAAAACGCTGGAGCGTCAACAACATTCGAAAATCCAGTTTACGAAATGGAGGAAAATGATACAACTAATGCAAGCAAAGCATCAACGTCTCGTTCGCATTCTATTTCATCTGCTGATATGAGACCTGAACCATCGTTCGCAGTCATTGGTTAGTACCATCATTCACCATCAAAGACCCTCAAACCATTTTAGATATTTTGAAAGTTTTTTGACTAGGTTTAAACGACTTGAAATTATAAATGCCTTATCACACTGCCTTCGAGGGAGTTTTTTGCAACCGTTACATTTTCATTCCTTGAAGGTGTGGGAGGAGAGATTGGGAATATTCCTCTAAAATAGTAGCTGGAGTTTAGCGGAGAGGCGCGAAAGCGCCGCTACTTAAACTTGGCTATTGGCTAAATGACTTATTAATGACTTCCAACTTATTAATTGACGATACGAATAAAACTATGATAAAACTATGATACCAATTTCAGCACCAAAATCGGACCTATTAAGGCCAACAATACCACCAAGGAAAAATGTAAAAGGCGGCGATAAATCGAATCTAGTTGATACTGATAATGTGACTGATGTGTAAAACCCTGTGATATCCATGTATAATTTTATCCACTTATGCATTTCATTAAAAATAATGGATAAAAATTTTTATAAAATTTCATCATGCATTTTTCACAATTAATTGAAAAAATCAGCGATCTATAAAATTTAGTCAAAAGTAGATGATCGCCCACATCAAGAAAATTTTGAACCCAAAAGCAAACTCTAGAAGTTGAATTTCTAGTATTTTTAACGATTTTTTAAAGGACTACCTATTCGGTATCTGCAGAGCCAAAATTGCATTTATAAACCAAATTAGGAAAAACATCGAAAGAAAGCGTAAGAAATTGTTTAGAGGCCTTTAGCCTGTAGAATCTAATACGACTACTATAATGGCAAGGAAAAGCTTTTTTGCTATCTCTTATAAAAACCATTAAATTTTGACAAATTTGCCTCAAAGGTGGGAAATTAAGAAAAAATCCAGAGATACGGAAATATCAGTATTAGCACCAAATTTAAAAGTGACCTAAAAAAAAGCCCAAAATTAAAAGCAATCAAATCTTTTCCATCCCAAATAATGAGAAAATACTCAACAAAAATCAGTCTATAAAAAAAAATTATCCATATACTTGTACACCCCAAACTTTGTACATAGAAAAAAAAACCCGCAATCCAACTGGACAATCGCAAAAAACTCCATAACAAATAAAAAATACCAGTGTACCTACTTAAACAATGAAAACAATGTATATATTACATATAAGAGACATAGACCTATTCACAATAAAACCAACTTATTAACTTATCAAACAATAATATTCCACGAACAATTTGAGGAACCAAGTTAAACATTCTCTGAAATACAGAAATAAAAATGGAAAGACTCAAATAATTATAAGTTCTACAATTCAGAGAAATAAAATAATTTCGAAAGAAAACTTTTCAATTAGCTTAAAAATTAGATTCTACAATTACCTCGAAACATATCACTGCTCAAAATTAAAGAAAAATAAGAAAACCAATCATTTCTTGTTAAAAAAAGCAAAAAGAAAATTCCTATTTATAAACAAAATACACAAAATTATTGAATTATTGAATAAAGAATAAAAAATAATTTCACAAAAATTTTTAATTATTTAATTTTTAATTGTTAAACACCGATTAATTTTCTAATCTAAAAGCATCACCGACGAATTATATAAAAAACCACTGGCAAAAATCATAAATAGAAAAAATGCATTAAAATACAAGCTAACAAACTCAATAAAAATTTTTTATATAACCATTCTACGAAATAAGCACTAAACAGATATATAACTAAGCTAAAACAGCAGACTAAAGTTGATTATTACTCGGCAACACAAAAAAATTTGAAGAAAGCAAAAATTTATTACCACAGGATAAATCGCTCTCTTATACTATGTAAAACTTGTACATCTATTTGGTGGATTTCCCATTTGTTTAAGAACACTATCAAGCCATTGCAGAGGCCCATTCAAATAAGCTTCAATCCAACAAGGTGTTGCTGTGATCGCTTGACGACGATATTCTGCTCCCCAACCTTTAACAAATGAGACACGAATTGTACACATTCTCGTTAAAGCATACACTGCTTCGAAACCCAGCTTAACTGATGCATTTAAAAGTGCAGCAAATTCAGCATAATTGAATATCTTGAGATTACAGTCTGAAATATTTTTAAAAAAATTTTAAAAATTTTTTAAAAAAATTGTTTTAAAAGTAGTTAAAAATAGTTTTTCTCAAAATACCTATTTTTAAATTTTATAAATTATTTATATTTTCCAAAAATTCATTTTTGTGGTAGATTTGAAAAGCCCGCTACCATTTATTTATACATTCACCATTTTCCATAGCTCTTTCTCACCAAGAAACCAATTCATGGATTGCAAAAGCTTGTGACCTTATATTTGAAATATTGTAAATTGCTTTTTATCTCTTCAAAAAAAAGAAATTTTGTTTCAATTAATGCTAATGCAGAGATGAATGGCAATGAAAAATAAGTTCAGAGCTATAAATCTGAAAAATGAAATTCCAACCAGTTTTCTGAATTTTTGAAGGCATGAGGTTGCATTGTTAGAGGATTATATTTTTTCTTTTAATTATTGCAGAGAATTTTCGATGATGTTTATTATCGAAGATAATTCAGTTATTCGTAATGGACTATTAGAGAACACTTGACCAGATCTAACAAATTATAATGAATTATAATAATTAGAATCCTTTATTCTTCACCAAATACATAACAATATAGCATTTCCGGTATTTTTCCATTGGTATTTTATGATCGTCGTACATCCATTTTTCATCGCGATCCAAGTGAGAATTCGATCCAAAAACGATCATTTCATATTTGAAAGAAACGAATAAGAAACTTTGAAATGTGCAAGTTGCTGAGGAACTCCGACATCAACCTTACTTGACTTCGCATGATTGGAGGAATATTGTTTACCTGTACAATCTGTTTTTTTTTTAAAGATTTCACCTATTTGTTTTAGATTCAAATGGAGCAAAGAAAATCATATCCTTATAAATTTTTAAAGGATATCCAAATCATTAGTTGCCTTATAAAGTGAAAATATTATTTCTAAATTTTGAAAATTAGATTTGGCATTCCCTCATATTTGCTGTTTTTAAATGTGCTTCGTTTTCGCAGATCATACAAATATTCCCAATATAGTACTTCATGCTCCATTGCTGGACCACTGGCAAATTCGCCATCAAGCTCGACGAAATGAAACATATAACGTCACACTCCAACTAAGTAACCATAAAAAATAATGTTTGCTTCGTTTTTTTTATAGAAAACTTCATCGAAAATTCTCACGACAATAATCTTATAAAAGCTTAATAAATCACGAAAAGAAAACAGGTTTTCAAAAAATCGCTTACTTCTTTGATGAATGAAGAATACAGTGGAAAAGATCAAAAAAGATCAAGTGAAATTTAAAAACGGAAATTTAAGCAACAAAATAAAACTAAACATACTTGGTGGAATCTTGCAAACCGTTGCAGGGTGCCAACCATGGCGCTGGTTACAATTTGGGCTTTGAACAAAAATTGCTGAATCACTGAGACATTCACAGAAGACTTCTCCACCAAGATAATAAAAGCGAGCACCACGGCCTATAATAAATTTTGCAATTCACAATAATCAGAAATTAGAAATTTTAGTTTTAATCAAAGTGAGGATTGAATTGATAATACCCCATTCTTTCAAATATTAAAATATTAGAAAATAATAAAGACTATTAATTTTAAAAAAGACCAATATGACGTCTTGCTTCCGTGACGCTTGCAGGTCTATTAGCATTTGAAAGTGTACCCAGACAAAATCTATCTGAATTAGATGGCGCACAAAATCCATCAACAATCAGCGATGGCAATGAAGCATGAAAAGTATCACCAACACGTTGCGACAATTCATAATATGAAACTGAACACCAGAATGTTGCTTCACGATATTCAACAGGAACTGCTGCAATAAAAATTTAATGAAAGTATCAGCATTTTCTCAGAAACTTTTTTATAAAAACTAACCGAGATCATCACAATCCATCGGACAAATTCCTTGGCTAGTCTCGCTTGAACAAATTATTGACGAGTTCAAAGAATCAACTGGACTTCCGGTGGTTTGTGACGAATTAGCAGGACTACAAAACGCACAGTCATTTGGACTACGGCTTTCATCCATCTCTTGATCCTCACTCATATATCCCCGTGGTGAAACTGCTGCAGTAAACCGTTAAAATTATATAGGCGCTATGCAAAAAATAATAACTATTTATATATATATATATATATATATACCTGGATACTGAAATTCTATAAATCACCTTCATTAGCTGGTGGAAAAACTGCAGGAATCATCGGTTCGTCCAGCGCAGTAAATGGCTTAACAATAGAGCAAGAAAATGGACCGCGTTCTGTTACAGAATCCAGAACTGGTGAATCAAGCATCGCGTCTGGCTGTTCAATACCAGAATAACTCAATGTACGATTTGGAACACGCTATAATTTTTCTAACAATTATTTATATTCTCCAAAGAATGATTAATAACTTAATAGGGTCCTAAAATGAAAGGGAATTAGTTGTTTAAATAACTACATAGAATTTGTCATAGAATTTTCTATTTTATAAAATAGATAGCAAAATAAAGGAAAAAATATCATGGACGAAATTACGAACATTCAAACAATGCTTCAAAAATCAATAATAAAGCATCAGCTTAAAGTGGTGCCAAAAAATAAGCCTACTAAAGTATAAAAACAAGTTGGTAACTGATTTTATGTGATTCTGCATACCTGATTTTGATCCACTGTTGTAGTAATCGAATTTAAATTTTTCGAAAGATCGCCTCCTCCGTGCAATATCCCTCCGACCGCAACGGTGTGTGGAACATTATATGAAATATTCCGAGGAACCATTACAGGAGGCAAAGCTGAAGTGATTATAGGATTATTTGTCAAATGTTATCTCAACACATAATATGGAAATAAATTTTTAATATAACCAATTTATGCCAATAAAAATGATATCGGTACATTACGACAAAAGTTACAAATCAGACAAAAGACAAACGAGCGAAAGAGATTCATTAAGTTAAATATATTAAGTGTGTGTTTAAAAAATGGTAAACATTACCAGGTGTCTCAACTTTTTCATAATGATACGGATTAACACAAACATTTTCCAGTTTTTTATTAAAAGGAAATCGACAATGCACAACTGATTTCAACTGATGAGTTGAAGCCAAATCAGGATATCGCCACATTCGACAATAAATTACATGTGGCAGACATTTCTTCTGTGAAACCTGTAGCCGACCATCCAGCGACCTATAATAAAATCTATCAACTATAAACCTATAATCGTAAATATATCCCAAATTTCCACTCAATTCATCCATTTTATGTAAGCTAGCCTTCTGCTTTCACAGATAAAGGAAGACCAATCGTTTTCATAAAAATGGTTTAATTATACCATTATCATCATTTATACTACTTTTCTCTTTAGTCCTCCATGGAACATTTTAGTGCATATCTTTATGATAGCAGTCTGGTTTTCTTCATTAGAGGATAAGATAAATGAATATGGCATTAATTTATCATTAATATGTCATTAATTTTACCTTGGTATATAAACGCAATCAGTATGTGGATCTTGAGTTGAGATAGCTTTTTCAAGTTCGTCTATAAGTTTCGATTTTTTAAGTTTTTTTACAAGACTTTTCACCGCTTTTTCATACCAACTATTATCATCCTACAAAATTTTATATATAAATTATTATAATGGAACAACGTATTTAATAATTAACAATTTATACATTTAATAATTTAGAATCGTTAAATTTTCAAAAAAATAAATAATCTGATGAAAAAGAAACCAAATATCTGCTCAACGAATTATTTGATCTATTGTTTTTATGAACGATCAATTGTACCAACTGCTCTATTAAGATAAATAAAAAAATAAAGATTATTGATTATTGGAATTCTACATTTCGATACCTCAAAAGACCAATTTTTTTTTCAAGTTTATTTCTTTTTTATTTTTCTTTACCTTTACTTTTTTCTTCCTTTACTTTTCCTACCTTTTTTCCTTTTAATTTTTTTTAATTTTAATTTTTAATTTTCTTAAATTTTTCTATTTTATTCTCCGACAAGAGTAAATCTATATCAAAAATCCGGATAGTTGCTAGAAACCACCTAACGCTCTATCTCCAAGTATCTCTATGGTGAAAGAATCTGATTTTCTTGACATAGCGTCTCCGCTCGCCAAGGCACATAATACTATCAGTGCGGTGGTACATTCGGTAAATATATCGAACCTATCAAGAGGAATGGCTCTCTACACGTGCTGTAAGATGTTAGCCGTATCCGCGTGGAACGCTTATGGACGTTGCAAGCCAAGCGATCACTCTCTCTACATTTTTTCTAAATATCATGTGAATATCATCTGCTTATGGGAGGTCCATCTTCCACAATTCGAACTAAGGTAATGGCTTTATCATTATGGTGTTTCGGATGACTCAGGGGAAATGATGTAGCAACTACCATGTCTGAAAAAACCCATTCCACTCTCATTGAGAGGAAGGATATAAACGAGCGAATTGTTGTATGCTTGCTTTAAAGGAAATATTTCTACAATATTTCGGTTATTAAATCAATACATGTGTTCATGGATCTGAACACCTTATGGTTCGAGCCAAGATCCACATAAAGTTGACTTGCATCCCACACGATCTTTAAACTTTCTCAAACTACTACAAGATTTGACGACATGAATGCATTTCAAACTGAATTATTGAAGCATCTTAATGATATAAATACCAACTTTTCTGGAACAGCAAATGAATTTCTGTTTTAACCTAATTAAGTCACCGTCTCCATTCGCAACTATTCACGCTAGGACACAGTGGTAGAAAATGCACTAGTTTGGTATTGAAAGCAACTGTCCCATTGCCCCAAATAAGTTACTACAGCATGAATATCAGGAGATCCAATAAAACTGCCGAAGAAGAGGATCTCTTCAAATGTTGTTCATCTCGTACAGAAACAAAAAATAGTGAAACCAAATGACTGGATCACAGAAATTCTGCTCCCAAGCAAGATAACTGGATATAGTATATGACAATTATCAAGGAACCAGTCTACACACGTCTCCAGGAAAATTTTTGCTTCCTTTCTACTTATTATGGCGGCACAAGACAACAGGATGCGCCCTAACCAAGTTGGATTAAAAGCAGGACGCAGGTGCGTGGACCAGATATTCATGTTAAAAAGAGTGATGTAACATCGTTTCAAATATGTGCAACCCACAGTTCTTTCATCAACTTTGTAGCTGTGATTTATTTGAAAGAATGGTGCTTTGGATAATGACAGAACGAAGGTGTAGCAAGGATTATTCGACTTATAGAGGCATTTTAAGAGCGTAGTAGCCGCAAATCTGCGTATGTAAGGAACAAACTACTGTAAAATAAAAACTATGTCCAATAAGGCTGCAACTTTTCCCCTATAATATTTAACTATGAGATAGACCAGATAATGGATATCTCAAGAGGTGCACACATCCGGAGTCCAGTGCAACGCATAACAGATCTTGAATACTAATGATGTACTCCTTTTTGTTAACACTATAACGAACTGCAAAAAAGCTAAACAATATGTAATTGTAACAGTTACAGCGAGAATCGGATTCAGATGTCGCCGAATGGCTATGTCCAAGACAACTGCAAAATGGGCAGTAATCCGCGCCGCATCTATTACATAGATTAGATTAAAATTGGATTAAAATTGGAAAAGATAGGATATATTATAGAATAATAGTAGAGTACGCAAGAGTAAGAAAGAATCTTCCATTTTGAAAGAGTGAAGACGAATATAAATTTTTCCCTTTGCCCATCTTAGAATGTATATAAACTCCTAAGAGAATACTTTGGCCATTTTGGGCACATTTCAGGAAAAGAGAAGGCGGGAGTAGGAAAGGGATTGGAGATCCGGAAGCGTTTCGTTTTCGTTTTCATTAACGCCGTTATCATCGTTCATGCGTTAGCACTAGCAAATGCCTTGTTATTTCCCAAGGATTTTCCGTTTGGGTGCATGTGCCGCATTAGCATTATAGGATTTATTAACATTTTATGATTTCTTCTCCTCTTCTTTCTTTCTTTATGTTTTTATCTATATTTTGAACAAATAATTTAATTATTTCTCAAATCCTCAAATTTGAGGGGTCCACCTTTTCGCAGAATATGCATAAGGAGAACGAAAGACGGAGAAAATAGAATGATATTATTGACCAAAAAATACCGCGTGACGGTTTAAAAATATATACAGATGTGGAGCGGATTCCCGGAGAAACTTTAAAGAAAATATATAATGAAAGTAGAAATCGCACCCAGCTCCATCCAAGTTTTCTTTCAGGATCAATATAAATAATATGAAAGCCTTTTCATCTTAAAGAATTAAAAATTCATTAAAAATATCTATGGTTGAGGAAGTACCCGATTTTGATTGATTTTGTCTCAGATTCAATCTAATCTCAAATGGCTAGACAAAAACAACTCGGGCAACAATAGCAAGAAATGCGTTCTCACCGTTGACAAAATCTTTAAGAAGCCTCACGAAAACGCCACAAAAACAAAAGTCCGCGTCCACATAGCTGTCGCTCCCTCGATCTTGATTGCATGGCTAATGATAGTGCTCGATATTAAGAAGCCATCTGCCTTTGAGCACTTATGTCTAAAATACATCTAACTGGCTCACCAAGTGGATGACCGTACATGTTTGGACCCTTTTCACAAATACCACTTATATTAATAATGTTATCACAGAGCGTCGTCTTCGTTGGTTAGGGAACGTTCTCGTCCACCATAGGAGTTGACGCACATTTCGCTGCTTGCTAAACCGCCCAGATAGCACCAAAATCGAAATAAACTAATCATCAATATATGAACTTAAATGATGGAAAAAAGAATGGCTCCTACTATTATCAGCGATGGCATCAGATCGCGCAATTTAGAAACATTTTGCTCATATAGTCAGTGCAACTAGTGATGGTGAAAGCTGTTAGAATTTTAATAAAGTGAAAAATGAAAAAATTATTCCAATCATATTTCGCCTATTTTATCGAAAAAAAAACAAAACACAAAGATCAAAAATCTAAAAATCTAAAGTTTAAAATCTAAATTTGAATTACTGAAAAACTGGACAAACCTTATCAGAATTTGTATCGTCACTTTGTGATTTCGTTCTTACCAATGTTATTAAACGTCGAACAGACGGATTTGTCGTTCCGTTATCGAATAACGTCTTCATCGCATTAAACTATCTTTAAAATATTTAAATTATAAAGAAATAAATATAATTAAATACAAAATAAACATATGAAATAAACATTAAACCAGAAAAGAGATAAAAACCAATGAAATATCGAATATAATAAAAACAAAACAATCGAATTTGATATGAACTTTTGTCCGATTTTTCAAACCGTTTGACCTTTTGACCTTTTGACATTATAGAAATATAATGCAAAGTGAAAAAACGAGACTATTCATTGAGCGATGAAAAAAGAAAATAATGAATGTCGGTTAATAATGGAAATGAAAAAACTATTAATAAAGAAATAAAACAATGGAGAGAATCAGTGAAAATAAACAAACAAAATATTTTTGTTTTGAATGAAATAAGAAAAAAAATAATTTTTTTTCAATTTTTAAAAATCGTGACATTTGTTTTGTTAAAAAGAAAAAAAAAGATAAGACGAACTATTTTCCAGTTTATTTTCCAGTGATTGATCTAAACAAATTTTATCAGTTGTTTATCAGCTATTCATTAATCTTTGATGCCTTAAATATTTAGGCGAATTCATAAAAAAATTTTCGCTAAATGCCAAAAAATGTTGGAAAAAAACAAATAGAAAGAATAACTTTTCGAAATAAAAAAAAGAAAAAAATATAAGTGATGCGAAAAAACGACTTTTGAGCGCGAGAAACTTTCAGGAAGGTCAGAGGTCGGCGAAATCAACAATAACCACTAATCAGTAAACCACCATGTGAACCTCTCAAAAGAGTGACTTCATATAGAAATACGCTTCAAGACCTATAGTTTTACTATTTGCAGCTAAATATTTATGCTGTTTTTTTAACACTCTAGTGTTCTTTTTTTTTGCTAGTTTTTTGTGATCTTTTTATCTTTTTCCCAAAAAATTTTACAAAGTTCCACGGGGGGAGTGGGGTTAGGGTGGGGGAGTGAGAAAAGGTAGGGGAGGGAGGTTTCATTATTGACTTCCGCCGAAATTCTTATTACTCCTAAGTAAATTAAAAATTTCAATTTTTGTTTTTTTTTCCGTTATTCCATTATTGGTCATATTTGTAATTATTGGATAAAGTTTCTTAGTGTTTATGCCAATCGTTGGAATTAAATGAATGTAACGGGGTGTAGGGAGAGGGGGGGGGATTGGCGAACTGAAAAAAAAATAAGAAATTAATTTAGGATTTAATTATTTCAATTTTTAATTGAATTTAGTGCTCGGTTTTAGTTTTTATTTGTTTTTGTTGATTGCTAGAAAAGAGGAGGAGTAAATCAGCTGTATATAAGCTAGATTTTGTTGAATTTGCCAGTTACGGGGTTTGCGATATTCGAGGTTGACTAGTATTTAGGCGGTGAATAAGGTTAAGCGCGGTACGTTGATAAGGTGTCTTTAAGGTGTCTTTTTCTCGATACGTTACGTCTAATTTTTAATTTAAGGTTTAGAATGAATGCAGCATACCGTCTTCTAATTCCAGCAGCAACTCTCCATGGAAAGTAAGTATTTTTTTGCTTTCTTTTATTCCCTTAAAATTGAAAATCAATCTTTAGGGGGATCAATCTTTAAAACTATTTTATGCTTAATTATTATAATTATTATTTTGAGTCATTATAAGCCTCTTATTTGCTAAATCAATAAATTTATTTAAAAATAGCCAAATAACCAATAGCCGATAGGCTTTGCGCTGTGAGCAGTAAGACAAGCAACTAAGGAAGGGGAATGGATGAAATAGAATAATTATTTAATTCAGGCAAGCCAATATCGTGGAGTCAGAAATAGCCCAGCAGGTTGTTCTCATTTCAGAACAAACAGTGCCTGGGTTTTACTGTCGGCAGTAAAATCCAATTTTCAAAAATTTGAGTGCTAGTAACGAACTACTTTGTCTTTATCGTAACTCCCTGGCAAAATTCGTCTGGTTCGACGAGCCAGTGGAGCGAGCTCAACCGGTAAAGTTAAGCGCTCTAAGAAAAAAGGGCAACGTTGGGCATTGGGAATATTAAAGGAACCAAGAGATACACCGGAAGATGTAACAAAATTCATTCTAACGAAGGAATGAAATAAAGCTGCAAATAAAATTTCATTTGGAAACTGGAACCATAAAGAGGAATGTCGTTAGTTGTACCAGGTCACTCCAAATTTTATGCGCTTTTATGCCTAAATATATCTCTTTTGAGCGAACGTAGGACTCAGACTATAATTGTTGTTAACTATAATTTTTTTTATTGCACTATTAATGTAAATTACAGAACATCGATGGATCAGTTAATCGGAAAGTTTAGTACGTTCATGATTCGCAATAAACATACTTTACCGGATTTATCATATGATTATGGAGAACTTGAACCAGTTTTATCAGCTGAAATAATGAAAATTCATCATCAAAAACATCATGCTGCTTATGTAAACAATTTAAATATTGCCGAAGAAAAGGTTCAAGAATCTCTTGCGAAAGGTCAAACTTCAAACTTTTTTTCAAAAATTATTTTTATAAATTTTTTTATAAATTTTTCTGTTTTCAAATTTTAAAGTCTATTTTTAAGTTTGTTTAGTGTTTTTTTTTTCAAAATCATCTTTTTTGTTTACATTTTTAGGTGATGTAAAATCAGCAATAATACATGCAGCAGCTATGCGATTTCATGGGGGTGGTCACGTTAATCACAGTATTTTTTGGACAATGCTTGCGAAACATGGCGGTGAACCAGATAGTATGCTTTTATTTTTATTTTTAAGTAAAAACATGAAACATGAAATGTGAAAGTTTTTGGTAAAATATCAATTCACTGAGTTATTCGATTGTTATTTTTTTAGATTACTTTTGTTTTAGAAGATTTGATGGAAATAATAAAGAAAGATTTTGGTTCGCTTGAATCGATGCAGGATAAGGTAAATGCTGCTGCAGTTGCAGTACAAGGATCTGGATGGGGTTGGCTCGCTTATGATAAGGTGATGAATCGTTTACAAGTGGCTGTAACGATGAATCAGGATGTACTCGAATCAACTACAGGTATAGCATATTTCACATATATGTTACCTGTCTACCTGTCCAAGCAGTATGGTTCTAGGTTATAGCTCTTCTTAAGTCACTTTTTAACTAAAGAGTTCACCCAATCGTTAGTAGACTCAGCCAAAAATTCGCGATTCAGATAAAATAAGAAAACTTGGTAGTAGTAAAATGAGTCAATAAAAAATGAAAATAAAAATTTATTAAAAGCTTATTTTTAATGATTCAATATCTTTGCTAATTTTTATAGGTCTTATACCGTTGTTTGGTATAGATGTGTGGGAACACGCTTATTATTTGCAGTACAAAAATGTTCGAGCAGATTATGTTAAGGAGATTTGGAAAATAGCGAACTGGAAAAATATAAATGAACGATACCAAAAAGCGATTCAGAAATAATTATTAATTATTTCATTTTTTTACTATTTTTTTTATTGAAGTAGTATTAATAATAGCGAAAATTCTTTGCTTAATATAAGATTATAAAAATTAATGCTTTATAGTTCATAAATTATGTATTTATCATATTTTTATAAACATTTTAAAGCTTTAGAAAATAAATATAAATAAATATTCATGTGTTTTTAATTTCCTTTGTATTTTATTTTTTTTACGATCGTTTTAGCGAAAAGTGAGATCATTTATTGTGAATATTCCTTGAATATTGATTAGAAAATTCGTTAGCTTATAATTAATGGCATTATTTATTTGTTAAGACGGATTTTTTTATTTTTAATACTTGGCATTTCATGGTAAAATAAACAATATTTGATTATCAAAATAATTTTAATTTTTTTCTAAATAAATAAACAATAAAAAAATTTATAAAACAAGCTTACAAAAAATTAGTTAAATACAACAAATCCGATCAGTTCGATTCTTAGTTTTATTTTATTTTATTCCTACTTTTATTCTTCCTATTTTTCCATTGTATATCTTTTATAGAAGCTTAGGAAGCATCGATTTAAACAATCAAAACAAAAGTCAAAATAGTTCAACGGTTGCCATATTCATTCGTTAAATTTAACCAATTTTTGTATTAATTGACAAATCTTAGTGAAATTTTTAAATCCAATATTAAGATTTATCAAAGATTTTAGATATCACTGAAAAGGATATCAAAAATTTCTGGTTTTCTTCATTTCATTTCTACCTTTAATTAATTAAATAAAATAAATACTAAAAATATGAATAATGCATTAATAATGCTATGAACGGTCAAAAACGGCCGCCATACAATGCTCTTTGAATTCTTTCGCTCTTATAAGTCTATCAGATTTATCTTGCACTTTACGGTGGAAAATTTCTTCATTTGACACAATTGGTAAAAAAACATCGATAAATTCTTTAGAATATGGCGGTTCGACGATATCTAATACTTCCATAGCAAAATACCTTAAGGCATATACAATCATTTCATCCTTTAGCACTCATATATACTTTATAAAGAATTTTTAATTCTTTTCTACAACAATTTTTATTTGCTCTCTGGTATGATTTTAGCAAATTATCAGTCAATTATATTTTTAAACAAATTTCCAGGTATTCGGTTTTAGCTACAAAATCAGAAAACATACCTTATCAAAGAGATATCAATTTGTCCTTCTTTGAACATTTTGTTAACTTTTTCGATAACTGCTAGTGGCTGACCAACCGATAATAAATGTACGAAACGGTCTATTAATGTACGCTGGCGTTCCATTATCAGTTCAGCAGCTTCATTTAATGATGATTGCCGATCATAGAGATCACAAACTAATTGAAATACACTGAAAAAAAAAGGAAAAAAATTAAAAATTAAACAAAACCATGAATAAATAAGTTATACCTAAGTTGAAGATTACGATGTGAAGAAGCAATTTGGTCAAGAAGAACAAAATGAACAATTTCTGGATCACAAATCACATCGTCATTCAACATGCATCCTTTCAAATAATGAAGTAAACCAGCAGCAACTACCGGTATTCGTATACCTTTCAAATAAATAAATATTTCTCTGAATAAACTTATACAACAATTGAACAATTGAAACTTACAATTGAATATTTTTGAAAAAACCAGCTTAATTTGAAATAACTTGAAATATTAGAAAAAAATTCGCCTTTTCATCTAATGTGGGACTTTATTATATTTATGAAAATTTGCGGAAATATAAAAATTAAAATTTAAAATTAAATTAAAAATTATTAAAAAACATATAAAAATTATTACCAGCAATAATTTGTGATAACTTTTTATTGAGATCCTCCCTTGATTCTAGAAGTGTTACGATTCTTTCAATGCAATCTCTCGTCATATCTAATTCTTGATGATTTTGCTATAAAAAAAAATTCAAATTTTAGGAAGGTGTATTCTTTTCTATTTCCACATTACGATGTTCTTTTCGTTCAAACAAATATATTTCTTTTGTTAATTTGGATGTGAATTTAGATATATAAACCTACCAAGAGTCGCCTACGGAATCTTCTCGGCGATGAGTACGACAATTATTGCATATTTAAATATTTATTCTAATGCAGAATTTGCTAAAAAATTTTAAACAAATAACTTGCCATTCGCACATTATTTTTCTTATATTCTCCAACACAACATGCATATGCCAACAAATAAACATATTTCGGTCGATGATCGGTATGAACCTTAAACAAAACTTTTACAGTTCATTGCAAATTGTGAAGTTTCTGAGATATATGCGCACAAGCTGCAGCTGCAGTTACAGTTTATATAATTTTTGATGAAAAAAGAATGATTTTCACTTGGATGTTTTCTCAAAAACAGAAAAAAATCGAATAAGTATGGCATCTTTTCTGAAAAAAACTATTTTCTTCGACTGATGAACTATATTTAACTTATAAACGTTAACTATATATTTAGTTAACAGCAAAAACTAAAAATCGTTTTTAAATAGAAATAAGAAATAAGTTTGCAAGAATAAGTTTGAAAAACTTTGGAAAACTAGTCTCAAAATTGGTTACGCTAATAAAATCATTGATCAAATGCGAGCCAATAAAAAATATTTTTAGATAATTTTTGTTCATTCATTTTGCCAAAAATTTGGCATTATACCAAAATAAAATACCTTGACACCATCGAAGGCAAATAAAGAATCAATCAACATGTTAAGGAGAATGGGATCACGAATTAGCTCAATTGGTGGTGGGTTGTGTGACGCATATTGCTGAAAGGACAAAATGAATTCGGAAGAAATAGAGGATGAACATAAATTCAAATAAAAAAGCCAAAAAAGTTAAAATGAATATATACTAAGCGGAAAATTCATCGGCTCCAACTATTATTTCGACTCATTCCATTCCTGATCTTAAAAGCAATAAATCTGTAATTGAAAGCGAGACCTGACTATTATGGAAGTTTTTATCCCAAATTTAGAGCTTTTTCATCTAAAAATATAAAATTTTCTCAAAAATTAAGACTTAAGAATTAAGATCTAAATTAAGGGTACCTGATAAAGTTGGCTTATATCCGCCGGATTCAAACAATTCTTGCTCAACATCGTTCTAACAGCTTGTATCATTGCCGGTGATATTTGTTCATCATGCGTTTGCAATAAACCAACATATAATGCTGATGTTCCCTGTTCGCGTTCATTGGCAACCATGCGAAGTTTCTGAGACATATGCGCACAAGCTGCAGCTGCAGTTCCAACTTCCTATAAGGTCAAATTCAATAAAAAGTTTTTATTTACCATAAAAGAATTCGGATAAAAAATTTTTTCAAAAGTGAAAACTACAAAAACAAGTAGAAAATCAATGAAATGAAAAACACTAACAAATCAAAATATCATCATAACAACAAAAAATAACGTAAAAATTAAAAGATTTACTTCATTGCTGAGAACGTGAAGCAATGTTTGTGTATAAAGATAGGTATGTTCGCTATGGCATACTATCTTCACGAGATCTGCAAAAGCTTTCTCATAGGACTCAGTCATTGGGCCACGTTTGTGTTCAGCAAGAACTGTATTTACAGCAGAGAGCAGTACTCGAGAAAATATCTCTAACTGAAAATGAAAAATTCATTATCAAATCGAAGGAAATTGAGTGCTTGCCTAACAACAACGAAATTAGGAAAAAAAAAAATATTACGAAGCAACAATTTTCGACAATTTAGGAGAGTAAATATATGAAATTAAGAAATAACTATTTTTTCGAAAAAAGAAAGAAAATTTAAAATTTACCTGTTGTGCTGCAGTAGTAATATTACTAATTTCATGTTGAAAACCAGCATCAGAAATCACTTTAACAGCAAAATTAATCATAAGAGAATTTGGGTAAAGTTCAGCAATTGCATAAATTAAACGACGCCATGCTCTTAAAAAAAGATTTTTTATTTCTATTTCGTAAATGAAACTTGTTTTTTAACTATAATAATAACTTGTTTTTTAACTATAACTTTTTTTAATCTCCTAAATTTATCAATTTCAATTTCAATTTAAAACTGGGCCATGAGAATGAGCCTTCTGCTTTCTTGATTTTTACAAGTTTAGCATTAACAAGTGGTTAGGCAGTTTGAGAAACCAGTCTTCCTCCTCATCTCAAGCAAAATTCATATTAAGTTTAAGTAGCTTTAAGTAGCCTCATCAATCATAAAGGAGATTCTTTCAATAAATAACTCATGAAAACAGTGCTAATGATGAATCCCCAACATTACCAAGATTCTACTACTAATTAAAGGTTTGCTTTTGTCAAGAAACCGAATTTCAAACTGTCGCTCACCCACTCTTACCCAATCGCATAGATAAAGTAACCTAGGACCCAATTTATTCAACCAGATTTAAAGTACTGTGAAGAAACTGCTGGTAGTAAAAAATTCTCAATAAATAAAAATTATCTTTGATTATACTTATATGTGATTAAATCAGAGAGCCACTGATCGATATCTTCCTCCACCATTATCTTATCAGCGATTTCAGGTTGAAAATGTTTAATAATCAAAGAAGCTAGAGTTGTTTCGAAACATTCATCTGCGATATCTTTATTATCCTCCAAATCGGTTAACCAGTCGCCAAGGATATTTGACAACTAAATTCAAAGGTAAATGGTCAATTAAATACGAAAAATAAAAAAAATCACAATAATACAAATAAAAGAAATAAATTACACACATTATATGATAATATTATATCTCATTACATATTTTATTATGAAATAGTAAAATATTCTAAGGATTATCAGAACCATTTGTAAGCCCGATTACGGCCACTGAGAATTATGCATTAATCTTATTCGAATCCTTCAGGAGCCTTTCTTCATTCGCCAAACCTTTGTCCTTTAACACAAACCCGCACTCACATATATGAAAACAATCATTTTAGTAAAATTTCCAACCATTCGTGGATTTTAAGAAAAAACCGTGTCCGAGATCATAAGGCCCCTTAATACAATATAATGAGATTCGCTAAAAGGCTATATAATGCAGTATGTGTTACTTGAGAAAAATGGAATTGGGACGATGTTAGTTGGCTATGAAATGGCCTCGCAGAGTTTTAATGGAATTTATAGATTAAACAGAAACAGAATAAGGAAATCTAAGGTAATATTACTAATGGCATATGAAAAAAGAATAAAGAGAAGATGAAAGGGGTTTAGCGTGGACAGTGGATAAAGAAAATGAACAGACTTTATTTAACGACAATTAGCGAATGTTTTCATCAAAATAGTAGGATTTTCGAAAATATAAATAAGCAGAAAAATGCAAAAACCTGTCCTAAAGAACCATAATTATTGCATAACGAATCAATTATTTCAGTTTGTTCTTCATCATTAAGCAAAATCGTATGAATTACATGAACTGCTTGAGGTTCCATAACAAAATCGGGTACTGCAAAATACTAAAATTTTCCATATCAAAATTTATATCAAATTAAATCAAAAATCCAGAAAAAAATTCATTTATGTGGGTTATGTAATTCTTAAAATAGAATCGCCGAAACTTATATTCATCAAATACTTTCTCGAAAAGTCTATTCCTTAACCTCCTTTAAATCATATTTCGATCGCATCTCTCATAATTTAATCGTATATATTTTCCTTACCTTTTAAAAGTTGATAACAATTCTCTAGAATCACTCTTCGTTCTGCAACTTTCTCGGCCGCTATAAAGATATCCTTTCCATCAGTTTCTTCCATTGTAGATTTTAGTTCTTCCATGATTTATGAACCACCCAAATCACAAATTAAGATAATTGATATAACCAATTACTGATAAGACAACTGATAACTGAAATAATTGATACTGAAATTGTATAATTCCATGCAAATAATTTCATAAATAATCTAATTTACAATAATAATTTCATAAATAATTTTTATAGATATATAACAAATATGAACGATTTTCTTCACAATTATTCATAATGCTTATAATGTCATATATTTTATTTAATTTTTTAGTTATATTAGTAAATCAAACTTTATCAAACTTTTGGATAATGAAAAAACATGAAAATCGACAAAAGCTATCAAATTATTTCGTAAAATTAAAAGCTTGAACATCATCCATGATAAGTAAAATTATCTAGGATCATTTCCAATAATATAAGAATATTCAAATTTCCTTTAACAGTAACGACGAAAATTGAAAGTAACATAAAAAACAACTGTGTTAAAATAAATAAACAATAAAATTCTATTGTTGAATCCTAGCAATTTCAAATATAAACAATTAAACTGACGCATTAAGTTTATTTTCATTAAATAAATTTTTACAACAATTGAACAAAAAATATTTCGACGAAAAACAATAAAAAAAAATGCACAATAATTTTTGTTTCCTCTCAATCTGAACACTTTTCGAAACAAATTAATTTATAATAATTTAGGTCAAACTCCTCGCCTTCTTCATGAGCAGCAAAACAAATGATAAACAAAGAACGAAGGAACCATTTTTCCGTTTTCCTGAAAAAAAATTTTAATCAATATTTGCACAAAGTAACAATTATTTATAATAAAATATGTAAATTTGTTAAGAAGTAAAAGAAATACGAAGTTAAAAACATTTTCCATGCAAATTCGCTTTATTTTCATATGAAAAAAGACCCCTCCATGAAAAGGCTGGGTTTGTCGCATAATATTAAAGTGTCCCTTTGATGAAAAAAAGGAAATTCAAGGACTCGACTAAATTCATCCTTATATTTAAACCGCAGAAGTCGCCCAGTGATAAGATGGTAAAAGGAAAAAAAAATAATGAAAAATATGAAACAGTATACAGTAGAGCCAACCAAAATATGCTACTCAAATAAAATGAAAATATAAGGACAAATCTGAATTCAAAACCAGAAATTTAAAAAAAAAAAGCAAAACACGAGAAAAAATAACCAAAGAGAATCGAAACATATAAGTTAGGCCAATACTCCACTTTGCGTAGGCTTTCTTCCTGGCCATGACTCTTTTGCATATTTCTTTTTATGGGGAGCATCACCATCTTCATCCTCATGACGACTTACAATATGTGCAAAAGGCGTAACATGGCCTGATGAAGGTTCAGGAAGATTTTTGGCGTAAAGTTCAAGATCAGGTGCTGCATTCATTACAATTGAAAGACTTGAAACCATTGGACTTGTATACCTTAAGGAAAAACTTGTTTAACTATTAAAATTCCTTTTGTTAACAAGAATTTTGGTAGATTATCATAAAAAAATTAAAATATCTCAACAAAATCTCAACAAAAAAATATCTCATTCATTTAAATATTAATGAAATAAATTTATAATCATCTAATTGAATGATCCTCAACAATTAAATAATGGAAGATTTTTAGAACAACCAAAATGAAAATAAAATGAACCTTGTGCTATTATAATCATCTACTCGACCAGGTCGCAATATTTTCTTTTGAGTTGGACCTTCCTTTGGTTCTTCGTCTTTACTACCATCTTCAGATTTACGCTTAGTTGAGATAATTGCTGTGGCGACTAAATTTCGAAAACGTCCAACGGTAGGATCGATATCTTCTGTAAAACATAAGATTTCTTCAATCTTCAAAATCCCTTGAATTTTCGACTCCTCATTAATGTAACAAAAATAAGATATATTTGGGAAGAGAAAAGTAATATATATATATATATATATATCTTATAGGTAGATCAATCCCTTTTTAAAAAGAAAAAAAAAATTAGAAAAGAACTAGAATTAGAAAATTGAGTATAAACAAACCTGGATTAATGATAGTTTCCTCCTCGATGAAAGCAACATTTCCTCTAGGACGTTTTTTTCGTCGTGAATCTTCAAGAGAGATTGGAATTGCCGGAATTCGCCGATTCAAAGCAGTATTATACTCGGTGAGATTCTTAAACATAAATTTTAAGCTTTGAGAATCACCGTTCTATAAGGAAGTAAAGCACATGTTACCTCAAGTTCATGTTCCTGAGGTAATAAATCTTTATTCAATTCGTCTTCATCATTTGCATTTTCTAATTTTCCTCTAAGAATATAACGTCTCGTTGAAGCACCAAAATGAAAAACGCTAGCAAATTCAATAAAAACAGGTTGCAAAGGATCAATACGTACTTTACCAACAAATGTACCGTGGCCTTTAAACGTTTTTGATAAAAAAAAGTAAATTTCAAAATAAATTAAAAAACATACTACTCATACTATTTCATTTAAAATAAAAAACATATCTATCAACGAGGTAATCATCAAACGTTATGAAGTAAGCGATAAAACTAGTTTTCATATAGTTTTTTATTACAGAGCCAAATTTCTTCGAAGTAAAGTAATGGAGATCAATCTATTTCAGAATGATTTTAAAAAAATTTGAAAATTGAAGGAAGAAAAAACTTAAAAAAGAAAACTTACAGCTATCCAAGTCAACTAAAGCAAATCGTTGTAAATGTTGGTGATAAACAAGAACTGCGTGAACACGTGAGCAAGATGCGTGTTCGACGACAAAATCGCATTGTTTCGGATTCCTTCCAAAATAATAAGCTTTTTTTTCATCGATCATTAACTTCTAAAAAATATTATTTTTAAAAAAATCACAATAAAATAATAATCGTATAATAGCTTTCCTATCAATCAGAATGACCACTTAGGGAAGGTGAAAAGTTCTACAACACAATGGATAATCAAAATTCAAGTTTCACCAGCATCCTTGTCACATAAGAAAAGACCTTTACGCTTTCTAAATAATACTACGTTCTTAATCGGTTTTCTTTGCTTTTCATAATTTCTAAGTGAAAGATTTTTGAAAAACATAATTAATAGTATAGGTTATACGTAATCATATGCAATTAACAGTCATATAATTATAAATATGCATTTAAAAAATCCCTTTCTCATTCCCGGTGGATGCAATAGATCATTCTTAATCTTTGATCATCTATCAGAGACCTGAAAGAGCTCTTCACATAGTAATTTAGTAGTTCTTAACAATGCGATCTTCTCGATCTCTAACGTTGTTCATGAAATCTGTTGAAGCCAACTTTCTAGTTTACTGGTCATAATTCCAAGTGTTCCGCTTATCACTGGCACTACTTTGGTGTTCATATGATAATAAATATAAATATATATATTAATCTGAAGAAAAATTGAAACCTTAATCGTTTAACCATTCGATTATCTGTCACTAATACCTTTAGTTTCACTTAGCTTACTTTGTAATTCCCTCTCCCTTTATTTATAACTTTGTAATTCCCTCCCCCTTATTTGTAATTATGTAATTCCCCTCCCCCCCTTTATTTGTAATTATGTAGTTCCCTCCCACTTTATTTGTATTATTTCCCTTTATTATTATTAGCTTTTCATTAATTCCCATTGAACCTACATTACAATCACTAATTCTTTTCATCTGATACTTTGTCTTATCGCTATTAACGCAAGCAGTATGGCAGCTGTCGCCCTTCATGGTTGCTTAAATAAGTAAAAAAAACCTGGATAAGCTGATCGCCTTTGATGACGTCGAGGTGGCAGCCATTCGGCGGTCGACCTACCCATGCGGGAATTTCATATTTCGATATTGCCTCACTGCCATCATTCAACGAACTATTCATTGATGCATTTCTCGCATTTAATTCACCGATTTTCGATGTTTTCATCGTAAATGATAGAAAAATTTTTCCTTTTTTTTTGAAAACGTAGATAAATTTAAAAATTTCTGCAAAAAAACTCGAATAAATCGAAATTTCCTCTCTCAGAAAAAAGAATATTTTTTTTTTTAAATATAACTTTGCCCAAAGCAAAGATTTTTTGATATACAATAGAGATCGAATGGTTGCGCGGATTATCGCGCTTATTTTCGAAACGACGACTGAGATTCTTTGTTTTCCCGACGGGAAGAGAAATGGGAAAAGGTCTTCTGAAAATTCGACCCGAGAAAGGCGACTCATCCGGTTTTTTTCTACCGCCAAGTGACTCTCCAGCAAAATTTGCCTAATCCAACAAGCCAAGCGAAGCGAATCTAACCAGAAATGATAAAAATTTCATGACAATTACTAAATAAGAAAATATTTTCTATGACTAAAAAACACTCCAAATAAACCCCCATCTTTGCTTTTATATGAAAACCTACTTCCATCTTTTATGTAGGATCGACTGATTGTTAGTAATTGGTTTGAAATTTCTCCTACGTATCTAAAAGTCAGCTAGGACGAGGGTGGACTTCTTTTCTTTTTTTTGGGAGTTGGTTGTGGTGGAGGAGTGGGTGAGAGGGGAGAAGGAGGAAAAGGCTGTCGGTTTGTGCTGCCTGTGTAGGTTTTTCCCTTTGTATTTTGAAATGTTAATAATCCTAAGATTTTGCTGAAAGATTGTGTCATTCAAATTAACAGCTTGGTAATTCATAAATTTATCCAATTCCTTTCAATATGAATCTTTGGCCATTGATAATTCTAGGCCTCAGGCTAGTACCATTTCAAAGACTTTCTTACTTTTTGACTTTATTTTTAAATAGTTTTGGCTGATAATTGGTGGCCTTTTATTGTATTTGATTGTTAAAATAGTCAAAATTAAATAATATTGAAATGATGGATAAGAAAGGGAAAGTTTGAGAATTAAAAGGGTAGAATAAATGAGCAGTGCATTTCTAAAACGAAAGCCCATGTGTCCAGGCATTGTCCATTTACAGGAATAGTGGTTGCCGGAACCTACTTATACATTGGCCTTCAAATAACTTTCTTGTGTTAGAATTCGATATTTAGAAGAAGAGTGCAAGTAACAAAGGTCTGCTGTATATGTTTTTTGCGAAGTTTTAACAGGTTTTGAGTGGCTCCAGTTGGAGGGAATTTGGAACTTCGATTGCGTTTTAAGCTTGCGCTATTCGTTTGAATTTTACTAGCGATACAGGCGAATCGCCAGCACCTTCCTCCTCTAGGTTAAAAAAAAATTAACAGGTTTTTTCCTTCCGGAAGTAGATTCCTTTCGATATTTAAGATGAGAAATAGCAACATTCGTCGTGCCATTTTATCACACTACTTAAATATTATTTATCAGAAATTATCAGTTATCAGATATGTTTGAAATTATCTTTTTGCAAAGACACATTTAGAAATATAAATATTTTGTTGCATTGATAAGAAAAAAACTACTTTTGTTTGTTTATTTGTCTTTTTTTTTTAGAAAAATTGCTTGTATTTTTCGAGAAAACGGGGTTTAATTAATTTGTTTTCAATCGCAATTAAATCTCTTTGAAGATGTCGAGCTATCATATGTCGGGTGCTGAATATTTGGCATCAATTTATGGCACAGAAAAAGATAAGGTGAATTTTTGTTCAATTTTTTTTTTCATTCTTAAAGAAAGTAGGTTGAAGGTTTTATTATCAGTGATAGATAAATGTCACTGATATTTAATATGAATTTAATGTGAATGGATTTATCCGGTACCAATATAAGTTTTCTTCAGTTATTTATTTCATTTTAGTATTTCCACATATTTCCTTCAAATCTTTATTTATTTTTTGATTTGATTTCATTTGTTTGATTAATGTTAATGCTTATCATTTGAATGATACGAAATTCAAATTTAAGGTGAACTGTTCGTTTTATTTCAAAATTGGTGCTTGTCGACATGGCGATAAATGTTCTAGAACTCATATCATGCCTTCATTCTCACAGACAGTGTTATTAAAAAATTTGTATCATAATCCAATGATCGACACAAGGCAAGCTGATGCATTTGCTAAGGTTATATATTTTACCTATAATTTCTTTCTCATCATAATTCTTTTTTTTCATAGCTTTTTAATAAAAGGTTCATTTTTTAATGAAATTTCTTGACATAATTTAAGTTTGTTTGGTATATAATCTGAAAATTATAAAAGTTTTAAAAAAAATAGTTTTCTTTAGGTTGGCCAGCAAAATGAACAAGAGCAGGAATATTTCGAGGAATTTTTTGAAGAGATTTTCACTGAATTAGAGGACAAATATGGACCAATTGATGAAATGAACGTATGTGATAATATTGGTGAGCATATGATTGGTAATGTCTATGTGAAATTTGAAAATGAAGAAGATGCTGATAAATGTGTGAAAGGATTGGAGAACCGTTGGTAAGACTTTGTTTCATTTTTTTCATTTAATATTTCTTTAAAAAATATTCGTTTTATTTCATATTTTTGTTCAGTCCATGTTCTTGTATTTCTTTTTAAGGTTCAATGGATGCCCGATATATGCTGAGCTATCACCTGTCACTGATTTTCGTGAGGCTTGTTGTCGACAGTATGAATTAGGTGGTTGTAATAAAGGAGCATTTTGCAATTTTATGCATTTGAAGCAAATTTCTCGTGATTTACGTCGCAAATTATATGGTTCAAGAGCCGATTATCGTGGTGGTGGATATTATGGAGCTGGAGCTTGGAATGGTGATTCTTTTTATTTATTATTTGGCAGTATATATATATTTATAACAATATTTCATGTTTTGCAGGAGGCTATGAACAAGATCACGGTTATGATAGAAGGAGATATCGAGGTGGTGGGCGAAGACGTTCAAGGAGTCCTCGATCCAGACATCGCTATTAACATTTTCAGTTTGGCCAGTAATATAAGGTCATTGATAATGATTTTTTCGTCTTTTACTTGGAAAAAAAACTTTATATTGATGTAATATTTAAATCCTTCTTTCTTATGAATTTCACTGGAATCCTTGTTTTTGATTTCTAAATTAATATTATATTTGGAAAATTGGGAAATTGAAAATTCTGTTTCTCTTTATTTTTTGGGTTTTATTTTGAATTTTAAATTTTATTATTAATTTTTTTATTTATCTTATAAAATGTATTAAGTGAATCAGAATGGAGAAAATATCAATAAATGGAGTGTTATTTTGCTACATTTAAAATTGTTCTCAATTAGTGGTTTTTAATTTTTTTTTGCTTTTTTAGTTATTTCATTAAAATCTTTATTTTTATCTTTATTAGCTATCTCTGATTTTTGATTATTTCTAGTCAAAAATCTCGCAGTTTACTTTAAAAAATTATTTACTTTTGATATATGTTGTCTTTATCTTTATTAATTAAATTATCCAAATTTTTTCTTAATTTGGATCTCTTTTTTGGTCATAGAAATTATTGTGATGTATAATTATTATAATTGTTGCGAATTAATAAGTTTTGATTCTCTAAATTTCTTTTGTCTTTTCTTTTATATTTGCGCTATTTCAAGGATTGATTAATGATAAAATTTTGTAGACTTTAGAAATTCTTTTGATTCGTTTTCTTAAAGATTTAAAATTCTTTGAATTTTTTAAATGTTTTTTTTTCTTGATTTATCGCTTTGAATTAGAAAAATGAGGCAATTGAGGTGGCATTGTTGTCAAATGAATTATTTATGGATTAAAATTTAGGAATTTTAAAAATTGAGGCATTAAAAATATCGGCCGAAGGCCTTAAGTGAAACTTGCCAAGCTTCAACGATTTTTGTATTTCGTCGTGGATCGTTTCAACTTCCTTCGATAATTCTGCTAAATCGTAATAAATCATCGCTATTCTGCAATTTTTCCACATGTTTCATTTTTCTTATCATTTTGGTGCTTCGATGAATTTTTTAAATGAACAAGCATGAAAATGACGGATGTGGTGAAGAAAAATTACATGCGATACCTCTGATTTACCCACTTCTCATCTATTGATATATTAAATTTAAAGAATGATAAGATTTGATAAAGTGGATAATAATAAAATTTTGAAAAATTTTTTGGAAATTCTTCAAATTAGTTTTTTTATGATTGAAATTTTTTAGATATTTTTTTTCCCAGCAGTTTATCAATGTGAATTAGATATTTTTCTCCCCTTATCAGCTTATCAATGTGAATTAGTGAGATAAAGTTACAGGAATTATGTTTATTCTATTTAATTTCGGATAAATAAGACTGAAGCAGTTGAAGTGGTTTGTTGCTAAATGAAATATCTATGATGGAGCTGAGGTATCAAAGTAGTTCCCCTATGGTTTAAATCGTAGCCAATAAAATTTGCACAGATTTTCGTATTTCGTTTGTTCCAAATCAATTCTAATAATGAATCGTTTCAATTTTTTCTCGATATTTTTTTGCTAAATCATAGTTATGATTAGTGGTGATAATTATGATAATTTTTTTGCGATATTATTTTTTTTATTATTTTAGTGTTTCAATGAATTTTCTATTGAATTGCACACATTGTCAGATGAAAGATGTGACGATCGTTGAGGAAAAATTACGAAAATTAATCGCAGGTGGAAAAGAAAATCTCTTTGTAAGTCTCTTTTCATTAGTTCATTTCAAATTTATCTCGAAGTCTTGTTGAACTTGAGCTTTTAGCTCGAACTTGAACTTATTCAGTAGTGAATATTATTGAGTATTCGATGATATAATTAATTATGATTATATTTGAAGGTAATCAGTGATTTTGATTATACATTATCAAGGTATAAAAATGAAGGAGGCAATTTATGTGATATGTCCTATTCAGTATTTGAAAATGCAATTAAAAAATTTTCACCTGAATTAAGTGAAAAATTAAATATTCTAAATGAGAAATATTTACCTATTGAATGGTGTACGAAAATGAGCGCCGATGAAAAAGCTCCACATATGCTTGAATGGTACTTACTTGCTTATTATTGCTTGCTAGGTTCAAAGTTAAATAATACCAGAAATAAGAAATGCTTGAATGGTACTTATTTATTTTCACTAGGTACTAGTTAGATAATCTTAAAAATAAGAAATAATGAATTTTATAATTTATAATATTATAAATTTATAATATTATTATAATATAGATTTCGGATTTCCATGAATTGCTATATTCCTATAAATATTATTATAAATATTATAATATAGGTGGGAGAAATCGAATGATTGTATTCTCAGTGCAAATTTTACCAAAGCTAATATTGAAGAAATTGTGTCCTCTTCAACGCTGGATTTAAGGTATTTAAAATTTTTATATATTTAGGTAAAATCCTTTTTTTTGAGAATTTCTATACAAATGAATAATATTTCTAATAATTCAATTATCCTGTTACCCTTTGACCTATAACTTGAAAAAAATTTATATTTGGTTCTTCATCGAGGAAATTTTTTTTTCGAAGTTATCTTTATATCAGGTTTCAGGCTTGGAAGTAAAAAAATGATCACCAAATTAGACGTTAATAATGTCCCTCTTATAATATTTTCTGCTGGTATGGGTAATATTATCAATATTTGTTTACGACTTGAATTTGAGATGGTACCAAAAAATATACATATTATCTCGAACACTATGTTGTTCAATAAACAGGTTACAAAATTTTACTCTTTTTTTTTCTGATTGACCTTTCTTTTGTTTAAGGATTCTTCTAGGAATGCTTAAGGAAGAAAATAAAGATTCTGCTTAAGGTAAGGTTCCTAAGGATTCTAATTTAATCTTTGACAATTTATAAAAATTCTTTTTATTTTATTTTTTTAAAAATATTCTTCGTTTTCATTAAATATGAAAAATATTTGGAATGAAATTTTTTTGATTGTTTATTGTTTTTTTTTTGTTTGATTGATTTTTTTTGTTGATTTTTTCTTATATTTTTTTGGAAAATATATTCTTTTCAAAATTTTGTTGAGAGTTTTAAATTTTTAAATTTTCTGTTTTAATGTTTTAAATTTTCGAATTTAAAGGAAAATTTCTATTCAATTTTTTCTTTTTTTAATTTTCTTTCCTTTTTCCTTTATAAATTTATCCATTAGATGCAAAATTCTCGAAGAAATCTAATAAAAAATTCACATAAAAATTCATATAAATTTTTTCTTTGCAAATCCACAATTTTTCAATTTTCAAAATTTATTTTCTGATAAAACTTTGATTAAATTTCTTTTAATTTCTTTAAATTTTCTTAATTTCTTAATTAATATTCACTGATATGGGTGAAAGAACAAATATCATTTGCCTGTTTCCATTTCTTAAAAAAGGTCAGACAGATATTTCTGGAAAGTCTCCGTTTTGCTGAATAGAATCGTGATGGTATGTTGATGCATGTTAGCCTGACTGAATTTAGGCCAACGCTGAGTTAACCAAATTTTCATAAAGTGTTAATGGAAAATAGTTTTCAAGTATCGACAATCTATCGTTACGCGCCGATTTTTGGGACCCAATGCTTTTGATTCGATCGACAAGGCAAGCGATTATGCAAAACGAGATTATTCCACGAGATTCAATCAGAACTTAAGCCTGTTTTATCGGTGCATTAGAGCAGATGCATATGGGGAAATGATGTTGCCTTTCGAAACGTGAACAGGTGTTTGTCATGGTTGTACCCAACCTTTTAAATATCATTTGCCTGCTCGTAAAAGAAATGCAGTAATCGGTCCATAGCGTAATATCACGACTCTTGAAGGTGTTATTCGTCATTGCAACTAACTGCGACAGATATTAGACCTGATGTCGAAAGAAGAGCTTCAAATCTTTCAAATCAATACAGATAAATCGATGGGTTCTTTTCAGCGACATACGAATTTTTAGACGGCGGAAAAAAAGGGTAGCTTTAGTTATTTTCAGGAGCAATATCAGATTCAGAAAGCTCATTTATCCTAGTCAACAGAGGAACCAGAGGAACCAGAAATCATATCATAGAAAAATGCGTGCATTCTTTTTCTTATCAGAAATTTTCAATTTTTCATTCTTTTTTAAGAATCGAAATTTTATTTATTTATCAGCAAAATATATTCGATATTCGTTGATGGTTTTATAAATAATACGCATTATTATTATTATTATTATTATTATTATTATTATTATTATTATTATTATTATTATTATTATTATTACTATTATTAATTATGTAATGATAGTTGAAAAATTTTTCATGAGAAATTTAATTAATAACAATGATATTGAATAAAGGGAGAGAATTATTCTTAGGCTTAAATCTCCATTCTATATTTTCTATATATATTTTTTAATTTTTTTTAAAATTTCAGGATATCGCATATAAATTTTCAAGTCCAGTAATTCATACATATAATAAAAATGGTGCAATGATTCGCAAATGTCCAATGGTTTCAAAAGCGGTTGATCAACGTTCGAATATTTTATTAATTGGCGATAGTCTTGGTGGTTCGATTTTTTTATCTTTTATTTATTAATATTTTTAATATTTTTTATTTTTATTTTTTATTATTAATTATTTATTGATATTATGAATTAATATTAATTATTTTTTAATATTGTTATTCGAAGTTTTTATTAATAGAATTATTATTTCTATTATTTATCTTTAAAAGTTTTTTTTCCATTCTCTAATTTTTTTTCAAAAATTTTATTTTGTTTCTTTTTTTGGCAAAAAAATAAAGGAAATTTGCAAAATTTTTAGATATAATGATGGCATCGGGTTATGAAATAATGAAAAAGAACGAAAATGAGGTTAATGTACTGAAGATTGGTTTTTTGAATCGAGATTTTGATGTTCTTCTCGAAAAATTTTTGGAAGGATTCGATATTGTGATAATTGATGACCAAACTATGGATATTCCTAATCATATCATAGATTCTATTATCAATTAATCAGTTCATTAATTTTTTACAGTTTTTTTATCGAAAATAGTGCAATTTTTTTTTTAAATTTTTTTTCTTGTTAATTCAATTCGAATTGTTATTTGCATTATTCTCATTCGCTGAATATGAATTGAATTGAATCGAATGCGCTTATTGCGCTCAACTGGCGAGGGTAATTGTTTCCCAGTTGGAGAGGATAATTAATTCGCTTATAACGTTTCGCTTATCACCTTTTTCTTATCACCTTGTAGTTTGATTTCACACACACATACACACAAATGCTTCCTAGGTAATCAATTTTTTGTTTTTTTGAATGTTTTTTTATATTTTTATATGTTTATTTTTTTCTATTAAAAAAATGATTTTAATAATATTTTAATATTATAAAAAATATATATAAAATATATATATTATTATAATAATTTATATATATATATATATAAAATATATATAAATTATTTATTTTATTCAATGAATTTATAACCTTTAAATAATTTTCAAAATTGACTAAAGTTCGCAATTCAATTGTCAATAATTTTAATTTATTTTTCGTAAAAAATATTCTTTTTTCTCCGATTCAACGAATTACTTTAAGCCAAACAATGTTGTATGGCCTCTCTCATTCACGTGAATTTATTTCGATCGGTTTTATCCTCGTTTTTTTTCTTTTTATTTCGACTAATTTTTATATATATATTTATTTATTAAATTTTTAACGCTTTAAATTATTATTTAATTATTTTTTAAATTGTATTTTTTAAATTAAATATTATTTTATAATTAAAAAATTATTTTAAATAGTTTAAATAGCTAAAATTATATTTTTGATTGCTGCGATATGAGAAGAATGATACGTTAGCGAGAATTCTTCTCTATTTCTCTAAATCATCAAATTGATTCTCGTTGATGCAAAAAAAAAAAATTTGCTTGATAAGTTGATAAGCCAGCTGAATGAATGCAACGAGAAAATAAATTTAGAAAAATAAAAGTCGAAATATTTCGAAAATAGCACTAAATTAATGATAATTGATAAATGATTATTTAGTGATAAATGGGGGATAAATTATAAATTATTTTATCACCATGTAGAAAAAAAAATGTTTGATTTATTTTGATTGATTTATTTATTTATTTGATTTATTTTTGATTTATTTTCAATAGTGTAATTTTTTAAGTAATTGTAATTTTTTTGTGCTATCATTTTTTTTTGCTTATATACTTATACTTTTTTGGCATTCTAGTGAAGCAGCCTTCTTTCATCCTTCTTTCCTTTTTTTTTCCCTCGCCATTACTGGTTAAACTCGTTTCTTTGGTTTGTCGCACTAGACAAATATGCTAGGAAATCTCTTGAAAGTAGAGGTGAGACGCCAATACCACCTACATTTTTGGACAAATTTATTCCTGAGGGAAATAAGATCCTTTCTTTCTGGAACCTACGGAACCATTTTATTGATGCAAATATTACATTTCAAATAGAATATCAGTTTATATGTCTTAAAATACAACTACATTTTTTATTTTCTTGCCCATTTCCATAGCTTTTGAGTTACTTTGGCTGTTTTTTTTGCTAATCCAGGTTGATAAGCACTATGATCTATGAGAATTTGAATAAGTTGAATTCATTAAATTTGCTTAAATTTAATAAATTTTTAAAAAAACAACTGGCGATAATTATTTCTATTGATAAGGAAAAAATTTTTATGGCAGAATTCGTTATCATTCGATGATAAGAGATGTTTAAAAACAATAATGAATGAATGAATTGTGTGGAAGATAGCCATATTTTAAATTTCCTCAAAGTGGTGCTTCATAGGATGGTCGCTGTTTCGTGCAAGGTAAATAAGGATTCAGCAAAAATACTTTTTTCCCTAATTTTATTTTTTGTTTAAATTAAAGTATATACGGAACAATATTGTGTTGAGTGTATCCACTTTCGCTCAAATACCACTTTCATAAATAATGTTATCACAGAGGATCGCCTTCGCTGGTTAGGACACGTTCTTCGTCACCATAGGAGTTTTCGTTATTTGCTAAACCCTGTGGTGATTGGCTCAAAAGCGAGGAGGACCAGTCAAGATCTGGACTGATACGGTCAGGAAAGATTTTGAACGTATGAGGGGACCAGCGATATATGGACATAAACGATGGAAAAAGGAATGGCTTCTATTACTGCTAGCGATGGCGTCGGACCGGGGCGGCTTGGAGATGTCTTACTCTTATAGCCAGCCAGCCAGTCTAACTAGTAATGGTGAGAGCTGTTAGAAGAAGAAGAATTTTGTTGAGTATACATAAATGAGAGTGTATATAAATACTTAAATTCTTTAAGAAAAAATATTTATTTATTTGCTCTTTTTTTTTTTAAACAAACAGGAACGTTGCTTTTTTGCCGTTTAGCGGAATATTCATAAGAATAAAAATAATTTGCTTGAAAAATATGGAAATTGTCGTTATATATACATCAATTATTCAGCTGTTTTTGGCCAAAATGAATTTATTATTTATTAAATATTATTTAAAATTCAAGAATTATGTTTGAGCACACCCTTGGGCGATTCACTTTTATTCTCAAATGGCGCTCTAGCAAAATTATTCTTATTAATAAATTGATAATTGATAAAACAAATATAGACAGAAATGGTTAATGCTAATCACCAATTAACTTGATAAATTTCTTATAAAATTATCAGAAAAAATAAAATATTTAAGTTAAAATGGTTTTATTCGAATTGCTTAAAATCTTAAAAATTTATTTAAATGAAAATTGAGTAAATATTTATACTAAATTCAAAGATTAAAAACCAAAAAGCCAAGAGAAAAAAATTTACAAACCTAATTTTTAATCGTAAATATTATTAAATATTAATAAAAAAAAAAATAATTCAACTATCGGAGATCAAACTAAGAAACAAAAAAAAACGAGCCAAAAAACGAAGGCATAAACCAAGAAATCAATTAACCAATAATTTAATTTAAAGAATTAACCAAGAACCCAATTCAAGGAACCAATCCAAGGAACCAAGCAAGGGATAAATTCAAGGAACCAATTCAAGGAACCAAGCAAGGAACTAACCAAAAAATCAATCGACTGCTTCAAAGAAAAACGAATTATTTTTCCTTCAATTAAAAAAAAATTTCTAATTCTAATTTTAATAAATTCTAATTTAAATTTTAATAAAAAAATCGATAAAAGTGAAATTAATTTTAAATAAATTTTTTTAAAAAAAAGAGAGAAATTCATTTCAACTGGTTTATTTAATGGAATTTTTTCGATTTTTAAATTAATTATTTCATAATTAATTCACGTGATTTTCCATATTATTTAAAATTTATTTTTAGTTAATTTTTTAATTTTAATATTTTTTATAGAAAAAAAAAATTTAATTTACTGAATTTGTTTACAAAAATAATTTTTTTAAATAATTTAAATTAAAATAATTTTATTTTATATAAATAATTTTTTTCACAATATTTAAATAAAATAAGATTTACAAAACAAATTATTATTTTATAAATCTTTTTAATAAAAATAAAATATAAAATCAATTATGGATTTCTTATTGAAATTATTTTATTTATTTATTTTTTGTTATAAAATTCAAAATTGAACAACGACAATATTATGGTATTTCCAACTGCATTTACGTTCTAAATTCTAAAATTCTTACGCAAATTTGTATAAAACGAGTAACAAATAACAAATTTGGTATTTATTTTTGTATTTGTATTTATTTATATTTCTAATTAATCTAATTATACAATCTAATAATATACTATAATAACATAATAACAATAATCGTGTAATAATTACTATGGAGCACCTATTGGTACTTTTATTATAGAAACGTCGCTGTGGTTGCTATGCTTTTAGGTTTCTTATGGTTTGCTGAAGTTTAGAAATGATTTGCCGTGCTTATTTATAGTACTGGATCCTTAAGTATTTTTTAGTGAAACCAATATTCTTTTATTTTTGGATGATTACTTATTACAAGTCGTCGTTATCAGTTATTATATTATTAAGAGTTATTATACTTATCAGTTATTATATTATTGTATTTGTTATATTATATATTATTCAAATATTATATTTTACTGTGGTGCTTGCAGTTGAATTATTCTAAAGTTTTTATACAAATTTCTATAAAACATAACAAATAATAGTAATAATAATAATGATAATAACAAAATAATAATTGTAATAACAGTAAAAATGGTTCATTTATTAAGAAAAATAATATTAATAGTAATAGCAATAATAGTATTAAGTATTAATAAAATAGTGATAATAATAAAAATAATGGACAATAATTATAATGATAATAATAATATTGATAATAATAATAAAATAATAAAAGTTATTGGTGTAATGATTAAAATGGTAGTATTGATATTGATATTGATAATGAAAACCTTTTTTCTCCTCCTCATACTCCTTTTTTCCGCAGTCATTTTTGTTTTCATTAGATTTTATACAAAATAAAATGCCTGATTAATGTCTTTTGTGTTGAGACGTGTCTCGAGACGCTATTAAATACACCCTTATTAACATCACCAAAGTCAGATTCTTGCAAGAATCAGTAATGTTATCTTCAAACCTTGCTGTATGCTTGACACCATCCTTTCTTATTATTTTCCCCTAAGGCGTTGTTAAACCTCGTTAGCATAGTCGTAGATTATTAAATTAAGGCGAAGGAGCCGGAGAGAGAACTTTATGGAAGTTAAAATAATATTCATTTATTCGAAGGAAGGGATGCTAATGGAATAGAACGAATTTTAAGATAGAATATCAAGCGATTTGCAAGTTTCACGATTTTGAAAGTGGAATTGCTTTTTATAAGTGGCAAAATTATTTACAAGCAATAATATTAACGAATCCTTTCAGTTTTTCTATTTTTTAAAAAAATATTTTAAAATATTCCAGGAAATCAAATCATTAGGAAATATCGTCTTTTATGGCTTTTCTTTTATATTATTAGAAAAATAATTTTTATAATTTTTCGATAAAAATTTTTATCTCCTATCATATCATAGTCGTTCATTGGGTTATCATAATCTCATTTCCGAACGTCAACTTCAACGTCAAAGTTTACTGCCAGCAACTCAAACTGAAAGCTTATGTCAGTAATTTTTTTGGTCTTCTATCACTAAATAATTCATCTGGCATGAGCCATTGTGGAATGAACCTAATGAGAAATAAAAATGGTGAAACTCCGTTAGGAAAAAAAAAAGCCGTTTCATTTAATTATTTCATTTTTTCCATTCTTTTATTTCCTTTAGCAATCAATGATCATTTATATTTTTCTCTTTTTTTATAATTTTTTTTTACGATCTATTTTTATAATTAATCGATTTCTATTGTATTATTGACTTTTTGAATGGTTTGAGAATTGGATGCTAACCATTTCTGGTTGAGCGCACTCGGCTAACTCGTTGGATCCAAAAAAGGCGAATTATAGAAATATAAGTGAGTCGAGAACTCTAATATTAGCGCTTTGAAATGAGTGTGAAAACCAACCGCACCATTCAATCTCTAAATTACTAATTAACTACGAACGAATGCCAATCGCTGATTTTTTTCTTATTTTTTTAATTTTTTAAATTTTAATAATTTTCAGATAAAAATGCTAAAAAATTTACTAAATAATTCAAAAGTTCGAGTGAAAAATCCAATAAAAGTTCAAGAAAAACTCGAGGATTTTATTAAAGATGGTTTTGATCGACTTATGGTTTGTTGATTTTCTTATTTTCTTTTTGGTTCCATTTTTTTTGTTCGTATTAGAAGTATTTGACTGATAATATTCGTACCACCACTGGACAATATTGTGGAGTTTTTTGTGGAGTTGGACTTATGAACAAGAAGAAAATTGCGCTCCACAGGATCTTTTCCTAATCTGATAAGCAACCGCCAAGTCTGTTTAGTTTGAACGAGATGGAAGAATTAATTGATTGAAGCTATTGAGGCTAATCAGATTAATCATTCATCCTTTTTTTAGGTGATAAGCGATTTTGATTATACAATAACGCGATATCATGATGAGGACAATAACAAATGTTGGACAACTCATGGTGTTTTCGATTCGGCTACGGAATTCTTAAGTCCATTTGTTACTGAAGAATTACAGAAACTTAAACGTAAATATTTACCCATCGAATATGATCCTGACATATCCGAAGCGGAGAAAAGGCCAAAAATGGAGGATTGGTTCGTTTTTTCTGCTATTCAGCCAATACCGATTAATACCAAATTGTCATCTCGTTAGACCAAATGTTTTTATATTTAAATGAAAAAATTTATAAATTTTCGTAAATTAGCATAATTTCCATTTTGATTTCCATGTGCCAAGTGATAATTTTTAAAATTATATTACGTGAAATTAAAATGAGGTGAAGTCACCGAAATCAGCAGTTTTGCTAATAGTGGTTATATACCTAATTCAGTCATGCATTGCTCCTTAAATATTGTTTTAAGGTGGAGGTCGGCTCATAATCTTATAACATCGGTACATTTCGAAAGGACTGCAATTGAATCTTTGGTTCGTAATGCGAGGTTACAATTAAGGTTGCTTTTCAAATATTATTTTAGGAAATATATTTTCTTTTCTTTTTTATTGTAATTGAATTTTTAAATTACAAAATTACAAAAATTTATATTCGTACTTATTTTATATTTAATGTCGTTATTTATTACTTATTACTATTTATTATTTTAACAATTATCAATTATTATTGCTAATTATTATATTATTGTTATTTTGATTATAACTAATCATTATCACTTATCACTTATTATCACTTATCATTAATATTGAATTTTTGCAGAGATCAAACGGAACAATTACTTTTCGATCTTCATTGTAATCATGTACCAATTTTTATCTTTTCAGCTGGCATCGGGAATATTATTGAAATATTTCTGAAAGAACATTTCGGCAATATGAATAATATTCATATTATTTCCAATATGATGGTATTTTAAGAAAATTTTCATTCTTTTTTTTTAATTTTTATTTTTTTTCTAAAAATCAAAATTTTTTATAAAAGAAAACTTATCGAGTTTTTATTTAATTTTGCTTCTGAAGAATTTTTTCACAAATTTTTGGAAAAAATTTCTTTCTTTCATTTCGTTTTTATGCAAAATTTTTGTCGACTAATACTAATTTTTCAATTTTATAATTTTTTTTTTTTTCAAATTTTCAGACATTCGATGTTAACAATAAAATTAATGGATTTGAAGAGCCTTTAATTCATACGTTCTCGAAAAATAGTTTAATGATGAAACGTGATCCGAAATTTTTCCTCAAAGTCGCGAATCGTCATAACGTTCTTTTGATGGGAGATAGTTTAGGAGGTTTCTATATTTTTTATAATATTCATTTAAATATAAATAGAATAGCTCAGTGGGTTGTTGCTCAATTTGGAGCGTCGATGGTGAGGTTCGATTCCCCTCAGGAGTAAACATGCAAAAATCCGGGTGATGCTGGCAATGGCTCATCTGTATTTCTACCGCCAAGGGACTTCCTGGCATATCACCCAATACATTTTTATATATATTCATTTAAATATGAATACAATTAGGCCAATAGGCTGTTAAGATAATTTTACAATGCAAGTCTATGTGTGTAATAGAATTACAACTAAAATCCATCAATTTTTTATATTTATTATTTATTGCAAACAAATATAAATATATTTATTTTTTTTTAGCAATAAAAAAAAACAGTGAACAAAAGTCATTTTTTTAAAATATAAAGCTATTTCTTATTTACTGTGATTTTTATTTATTTAGCAAAAATTCAATCGTTCATTATTAGCGATTATAAGGTTTCTATCGGAATAGAATGGCTCAGTAGGTTATTGCACCCATTTCAGAGCGCCGATATTGGAACTCTATTCTCAGCTGGGGTAGGCCTGTATTCCGAAAAATGCGGCTAGTGCTTCTGGTGCTTTTATTGCCGAGTGACTCTCCGGCGAAATTTGACCAGTCCGATAAGCCAGCGAAGCGAATCTAACCAGAAATTATTATAAATATTACATTAATCAACCACTATAATGGAAAAAAAAGAAAAATTTGGTGGATGCCGTTTATAATGGCGACTTTGAAATTTGTGCTATCAGTGAGAAAAAGCGGAAGAGGAAGACGAGTATAAAGGTAAAGTAGGTAAAGTATATAAGTATAAGATATTCTGACAAAGTATACTGTACATTTCTTCTTCTTCTAACAGCTCTCACCATTACTGGTTAGGCTGGCTCCAACGGCTACAAGGGTAAGACGCTTCCAAACGGCGGTCTGATGCCATCGTCGACAGTAATGGAAGCCATTCCTTTTTCCATCGTGTAAGTCCATATATTGCTGGTCCACCTATACGTTCAAAAATTTTTCTCATCGTATCAGTCCACGTCTTGATTGGCCCACCTCGCTTTTGACGCCAACCCTCACAAATAACGAAAATATGCGTCAACTCGTGTGGTGGACGACGGAGAATGTGCCCTAACCAGCGGAGGCGGCGCTCTGTGATAATATTATTTATGCAAGTGGTATTTGAACGAAGGTGGATGCGATCTTGTGAGATTTTATCCACTCGGCGAACCCGTAAAATATATCTTAGATGAGAGAGGTCAAAGGCAGATAACTTCTTAATATCCTCCACTCTCATTGGCCATGTCTCAGAACCATATAATAAGATCGAACGGATCACGGCTATATTGATGCTTTCGTTTTTATGGTGATTTCACGACGATTCCATAAAGGTTTCGTCAACTGGAAGAAGGCATTTCTAGTTTTCCGAGATATATGATCCGAGCTATAATATCATCTTTTGCCTGTCCATTTGGTACTAGAGTGGACCCAAGGTATTTGAAATCAGGCACTTCCTCAACCGGCAATGAATTTACAAAAAGAGGCATTTTATCAGCTTCTTGCACATAAGACGAAAAAACTTTCGTTTTATTTACATTGATCGTGAGTCCGATTCTTGCTACAGTTTCTGACACGTTATTTAGTAATACTTGCATTTCATTATAACTGTCAGCAAAAAGGACTAAATCATCAGCGTATTCAAGATCTGTGATACGATGCTCTGGACTAATTCGGAACACCTCTTGAGGTACACTGAAGGTGTTATGATTTTACTTGGAGTTATGATTATTGTATTTTTTTTCAAATTATTATTATTATTATTGTATTACTATTTTTTATTATTTTAAAGCAATTTTTATATATTTTTTTTCCATTTTCTTTTCTAATCGAACTATTTTTTTGATATGTTTTTCCACTCTATTGTTATATGTCAATTGCATTTCCATCATATCATTTGTCTTATCATTTATTTCGAAAGAGAAAAAAGTTTTATGTTTTAGACACGCATATGGATGCTGGTTTGGACGATGGACGAACTGTTTTAAAAATAGGCTTTTTAAATTTCAACATCGATACACTTCTTGATAAGTATCTTGATGGCTTTGATATCGTTCTAATTGATGATCAATCTATGGATATTCCAAGAAGCATTTCGACTGCTATGTCTTTGAACAATTTCACTGTATCCTTGGATTATGAAGGTTTGTTTATTTATTCCTTATTTTTCCTATTCATTTCTTCCTAAAGCAAATTTCTCCTGGAAAATACTGAAAGTTTTAGATTTAAGTTCAACTAATATCATATGGTGTCATAATTTAGTATAGCAATAAATAGGAAAATAAGATTTTCGTTTTCTTTTTCATATTAGAAATTTTTTCATGATAGCCGAGTGAGAAGCTGAATGATAACTGATTTATAATAATAACACCAAAATTTTAAAGAAATATGCAATACTTTATAACTAGTAACTTTTAGTTTTATGTCCTGGTATTGCTAGGTCGTCAAAAAATACTCCTAGTTTGGCTAATATAGGAGAGAGGTTCGATTCTTTCACTAATAAATTGCTTAAGATTAGAATTAGGTCATCGAAGCTTTCCTTTAATGATTGATTCTTTCCAGCCAAGCTAAAAGAATCGACTTTACCACAGTTAACTATATCACTCAACCATTCTCTCCCCGCATTTTATAAAACCTAAGATTCCAAATAGGCTGAAATATGAAATATGATACATTACGAAATATAGAAATATATTTATTTTATCGCATTCACTTTTTTTTTTATTAATTCTTGAACTAAGAAATTGAAAAAAATTAAAATTGAATTGGGCGCTTAAATGGATGACTTCTGATCCAAAGCAATAATTGTTGGTACTTAATAATTTGCTTAAAAAGAATTTATTTTTCGTGTATTTATTAGAAGCGGATTTTTATTTCCGACTATTTATTTCATTAGAAATTTATAAATTTTCTGAATTTTTCTTTATCTTTTAGCGGAAACTTGTCGCCAAGAAGTTGCAAAAGAAACACTATCAAGTGAAGAAGAAAATGAGAAATCAAGAGTATCGGATATAGCAGCATAACTTCACTGCGAAACATAGTTCCACGGGTTTCGCACTTTCTTTCATATCGTCTAAAAAGTCTAAAATTTAAAGAATTAATTCCATAGTATTTTTATTTTAATATTTTTTTTGTAAATCCTTCATTTTCTTTTTAAATTTTGTTTATAATTAATTATAATTAATCAAATTAAATTGAATAAATTTGTACATTATTACTAATATTTTTTTATTTTTATTCTTTTCTCCTATTATTATTAAAATAACAACGTTTATGTTTATTAACAATTATGAATTTATTAATTAAATTTATGAATTTTTTGAAATTTATAAAAATTTATGAATTATTTATGAATTATGAATTTATTAATAATAAAAATATGCAGAAAACAATATTTTTTCATTTTCATAAAATTTTTATTCTAATTTGATTTATTTAATTTTCATATGTATATAAGTATATAAGTTTATAAATTTCGTTGTATTTCGATTATTTTAATAAAATTTTGCATTATTTTATTAAATTTTAGTTTTTATGTGACGTATATTACCGAATATTAAGATCTTAAAAAACCAATATAATTAATAATATTGTAAATCAAATTCATATTTTATTATATTATAAATTTTTTTTGTTGAAACCAGCAGGATCATGCTCACTGGTTAGATAAACCAGTTAAAAATCCAGTTTGTTGGAATTCAACGCAATATTTTAGAATTTAATTTTAGTGCTAGTCAGTTTTTAGATAGATAAAAATGATTGCTTAATATTCAAATTCATTCATTTTTTTTTATATGTATATCTATGTTTTATCAAATTTTCCAAATGTATTATATATTCTATAGCAGAAGTGGTTCTCAAGTGGTGAGGAAATCCTATCCTGGAGGAATTTCGGACTTTAGTAGAGGAATTGGTAAAGGTCCGTGAACAAATCAAGGCCATAGAAATATTTTTTCTGGGCCGATAATCATTTTGCTGTGATATATTGTGAAAAGAACGTATATATAGTGAAAAAAGATTGAGAACCACTGTTCTATATTTCTATTTTTCGCACACATTTTTCTTCTTTATTTTATTTATCGAAGACTATTGGCAATAAAGAAAAATTTCTTCTTATTCAAGCTCAATATTGACTTGCAAGTCAACAAGAAATAAGTATTTATGATAATTTTAGCGGTTTAACAATGATCACAGCAAATAATCGCTAAAAGGCTTTCAGAAAAATTTCTCGGTCCATTCGTTCGAAACTCTTCGATAAACTCTTCTCATAAAATTTGTCGAAACTTTAGTTAATCCTAATTTTCTGTTATATCGAAAGCTCCACTATCATATTTCGCCATAATCCATTTGTGCAATTTCAAAACTTTAGAGCTATTTTGGAACCTTTCGGCACCTTGCTCTTCTCCTCCATCGAGATGGTGAACTTTTCGGTCTTCAGTTATGAATAATTAAATCGCTTAGTGTCAACATCAAAGCTCGGATCCTTCATTCGATATGAGTATTTGTTAACGGTCAGGATCGTGCCTGGTGATCTATTTGCATTTTTGTGACTCGTCGCCAAAAATTATTATAATAGCCAGTAGAACGAGTTTGACCAGAAATGATAAGCGATAACCATTTATCTAATTCACTTATTTCTATAAACTCTTGAAGGTTTCAGAGAATATTTTAGTCTTCCTGTGGTCTTCCATACCAATAGTTTACAGTTCTATTTTTTTTCACTGTAAAAAATTTTATCTTAAAATCTACGAATAAAATTTTTCGATTCTCTTGTACTATACTTATTCTAAAGATAAGCATAAGGGAAAAAGGCTTAGAAACACGGTATAGAATTCTGGCAATACTATGGTTTTCAGAAATATTAGTATTAGGTTGCAAGAAAAGGACATAGTGGCAAGGCTCCATAGCATAATCTAATTGAATTAAAATAATTTAAGGGAATTTAAAGAATTATCAGATTTTAGCTGTAAGGTTTGATGGAATATTAAAGAATATATTAAGGAGGCTTTAAGAAAACAAAGTAGTTTAATGTGTTTCTCAAGAAATTCTAAAGACGTAATAATGGCGCCTTAGGCATGCAATGGCACAAAGGCGATATCACAAAGATTTCATAAAATCTTTCTCCAAATTATTTCATCGATATTTTATTTTCTTCTATTTCCTGTCATAGGCTTTATTATAATTAAAAAAAATTGTATTAATTTTTCTCAAAAAATTTCTTATTTCATTTATTTCTTATCTGCTAAATTTATTTGGATCATCAAGTTTGTTTCCATACAACTTTTTTTTCTCTTAAATTTGTTTTAACCATTTTATTTGATATTAGTAGTTTTTAAATTAACTATTAGTTATCATTATTTTCATTATTTTATTATTTATTATTTCATATTTATTATCATTTATTATATTTATTATTGGTTTATTATTTATAAATTTCATTGAATTTCTAATAAATTAATTAAAATATGAATTATAAATATAAATAAAAATATGTTTAAATGAAAAAATTTTAAATTTTAAATTTTTGATTTTGTATAGATTTATAAATATATTCTACTAAGACTGCTATGGTACTATACTACTATTAATAACAATAAAGCAGTATGGCTAGGTTGACAATAAAATATGTTTGTAATCGTAATTGATAATCATAATTTCTTCTTTTATATCATGCAGTGATATTTATTTATTAATGGTGGAATACCTCGTTTCGAGAAATTTTTTCACCCGAATATATAATTCATTGATTTTTTGGTGCATTTGGTGCATTGATTGCATTAAATATTCTCTAGCACATATTGCTTGAATTAAACTATAAAATTTCAGAATTTTCAAAATAACGTTTCAACATTTCATTTCAAATATTTTTCAAATATTTCAAATATTAATATTAAATATTAATATTTGAAATATTATAATATTAAATATTCGAATATTTTCAACATAGATTTTTCATAAATTATTTTGGTTTTTTATAAAAATTCGTTAAATTCTAATAGGCGATTTCAGATTTTTACTTAATTGCAAATAATTTAGTATTTGCCTATTCATTATTTATTTCTTCTTAGACAATTAGTTCATTTATTCCATATAAATTGTAAATAACAAATATTAGAAGGGAATTTGAAATGAAAAATGATAAACTGAAATCAACGGTTCTTTCATGGTTTTTTTCTCTTGTCATTAGCATAAATATTATCCATATTTCTTATAAATTTTTTTGTATTAATAAAATTTATAAAATTTTTTATTAAATAATTTGGTGCAAATATTTTAAATTTAAAGTTAACCATTCTAAATTATTCTTATGAATAGTGTGGTACAGTGGATTGTTGCTCATATTGGTTCGGGTCAAAAGTTCAGATTTGTGTTCGGCTAGCAATTCATCTGTACTTCTATCGCCTTCTATTGACTCTCCTAACAAAATTAATCCAGTTCGATGAATTCTTGAAATGGGCCTATCCAACAGTAATAAGGAGACAACTTCTTAGGAAAAAAACTTATTACAATTAGTAAATATAAATATTTATATGAAATTGACACTTTATTTGGTATAATGCTGAAAATGAATATCAATAAAACAAAGCCTGATCCTTATTTATTTTTTCCAGTTAATTCAAAATTAAAAACTATAATTTTTTTAACTGTGACTCCTAAACTATAAAAGTGACTTCGGGAGGTTTCAGGAACAACATCAGAGATCTCTATTTCGAAGAGCACACTCTTAGAAACAGGTAGTCTTTAATCTCCCAGACCTCTGGCCGAGGACTCGAGGTTGAGGATGATCAGGATCGTCAGCACTCACGAGAGCGAGGAAAACTTTTTTTTTAATTTTTCAAAAATTTTTTATTTCATTTTATCATAAATTTCTTTAAAATATTTCTTTCATAAACGATAATTGCTATTTCATAGAAATAATTTTAATATTGTTATAAGGTGCAATAAATTCTATTCATCGAAAGAAATAAACTTTTTTTTTTTTAACAATGTTTCTAAAATCTACTAACTTATTTTAATTGTTGTATAAATAAATTACCAGTTTTTATGCGATATGTCCTTCAAATTATTTGTGATATTAACTAAGAAAATTTTGAAAAGAAATAAAATGAATAATTGGACAAATATTCGAGGCTTAGATATTTCACAAAAACCCTTTTTTTGCCTTATTATTTAGTCCACAAAATTCATGGAACTTTAGCTAAACAATGATCGCAAATGATCGAATATAGTACATAAGAAAAGTTTTAAATGCATTGTACAAAATCATTTTTAAGGTT